AAACCCCGGAAAAAAAAAAAAAAAAAAAAAAAAAAAATCTTACGGTTTAACTGTTAGATCCAGGCCTACTACAAACTGATAGATTTCAATCAATGATGAATTATATCCTTTCTTGATAATGAGTGAATATGAATAACACTTTTTCATGCCTTTGTGAGAGCATCTGGAATGCAAGGTAAACGATAATATGCAAACTTAGTTTTATTGAATGTTAAATGGTTGTCTTCTAAAAATGCTCAGCTCTTTTAAAATCCCCATATGCAGTGACTGTACCTTTCTTGCTAGCACTTTGACAATTCCCTAAATCCCTGTAGAATTTCTTAGAAGTAAATGAATTTAGTATTATTGTCTTTATTATCATTCATATTGTTTTAGCTGGTCCTTGTGTTCTGAATTATGAATGACCTAGTCTATTTTTAAAATGTTTCAAGTTTCTAATTAGAAAGACATTGCATTAAGCCATAGACAATTAGTTGACTAAAGAAAAAATAATTTTCCAGCACCAGCAGCCTTTATTGGCTGCAAGGACAAATGAGGAGAATTCAACAGATCTGGCCCCAAGGCCTGTGTCTGAGGACCTTGCTCTTGCTCTTGCTCTTGTGCTACACTGAAAAAGTTGACTAAAGAAATTTAAAGTAACTTGAACGTTAAAAAGTACCAATAAAAAGTATTTAGGCCATGATTTAGTTTTAAAACTTGAGTAGATGAGCTAGGATTATTTAGTCAATCAAGAATGTATATTAATTTATTTTCTCCTACACATGAAGTAAAATTAGAAAAAAAATCTCTGCTATTGACCAAAGTTTGGGTCCTCTGAAAATGCATGTGTTGAAACCTCAATCAAAAATGTGATGGTATTTTGTGATGGAGACTTTGGGAGGTAATTACCTCAGGAGGTAGAGCTTTCATGTAAAATTGATGCCCTTAAAAGACTATGAGATAACATGCCAACTCTTTCAATCACTGGCGTCCTTGCTTACTCACTACCATATGAGGACAAAGAAGACAGTCTAAATACGAGCATGATTTTAGACTTCTTAACTTCAAGAATTGTGAAAAATAAATATAAATCATCAGGTTATGGTAATTTGTTATAGGAACCCAAAATTTGAAAGGTTTCTTTTGGGAAAATGAAGACAAAAACATTTAAATAAGAACAATTTAATATTTTATTTTTTTCTAATAAAATATGCATAATATAAAATGATTAAACCGTGTGCATTGCTACATAAATTATATCTATAACATGTTGCAAACAATTTATAATTACACATTTCATTCATTTAAAAATCATTTATTTTATTTATATCATAGTGATACATATAAATATTTAGCAGCAATAATTTGCAAGCTTAGATGCTTTTTAAAATAATAGTAAGTACAATTATTCAAATACTACATATGTTTAGAAAAATTGAATCTGGCTTACTCTAATGAATTTGGTGTTACTAATATACATTGTGCTGCAATCTGTAGACAAGTGTTGTGAAAATTATATTTTATAGAATATAGGAAATCAGTGAAGAGGGAAAACATTAAGTGCTGAGAAATTTAAATCCAGTATTAATTTCCCCTTGAGAACTCAAGCTGAGGGTTATCTTCAAGACCAGCTTATTTCTATTGGTTCATCTAGAGTCACATCATTATTTTTCAGATCAATTTCTAATACCTAAAAAGAAAGTAAATTTATAATTAATTGTTTAATGAGAAACATATTTTCTTGTTCAAGTAAAGATGTTTTCCATTTAATTTTTTCTGTAAATATAGAGGATATACCTCATATGTCTTTTTAATTTTGATGAATTTTTATTACGTATTGTTATTTTATCCCAGAGAAGGTAACAATTTTAACAATAATTTCATCAAACATATGCTTTACTGATAAGGAATATGAATTATAGAAAGAAAAAGTAGTTGTCAAATGAAAATCCAACACTATTAACCAATTTTGTATCTTAAAAGCTATTATATTAGGGTTTCCAGTACTTCTAAACTGGGAGGTATTATAACTTCACTATGAGAAAATAGCTACTTTTTTAAACCATCAGGATAATGATACAGTTCCAAAAGTTTTTTCTTAATATTTAAATTTTTGTGTGGATATGCTTACAAGCAGTGGAATAAATTTTTCCATAGACTGTTTTTTGCAATGTATTTGTTAATACTAAAGATAACACTGATATATTAAAACACCTTGTATGATACTATTCAGTTCATATTAATCACTGAATTTTATGGCAAAAGTAATTAGCTTTACTACTATAGTATTAGAAATCAAGAAAATATATAAGGCAAGGCAATCTTTTTTTGTCTGATTGGAAAATGGGTAAAATATTCACTTTGAAAGTGACTAATAACAACTGACTCTTTAATCTTGGAAAACTAAAAAATCCATCTTGAAATTACTTGTTCTAATAAAGAGCTAATTACTGGGAACAGCATTACTCTATTACAAGAATTGTAACTCTTTAGTATGAGTACCATTTCTCAAATACACTTAAATTCATTAGTGCTTATAGACAGTTGTATTAATGTTGTTGTTGTTGTTGTTGTTGTTGTTGTTACTGGGAATCAGACTCAGGACGTTGCCCTTATGAGCTAAAAGGCAGAACCACTGAACTAAATCCCCAGCCCAATAGTTGTATTAATTTGAAAAACTGTTCAAATATATTTTATCTAAGACATACATAATGTTCCAATATACATTTTTGAAAGGCTCTTTATAATAATAGTGCTTCAGAAGTTTAATGTAACGTAATATTGCTCTTCTTACATCAAGATAATCATAAGCAAGGTTGATTTACAAATTACTAATAAAATAATATGGGAATAACCATGGATGTTTCATGACAATTATTTCCCATATACAATTAAGTTTATTTAGGCCTGAGAAATATGAAAAGTTCACATGGACATTTTGAATAGGTACATTTTTAAAATAATTTATTTCACTTACTTTTTGAGCTGCAATATGGTTAAAATTTGTTGTCACTGTATTTTCATTATATAGCAAAGTAACCACATTGATACTTGTTGCACTTATACCCCATACATCAACATATCCAAGCCTTGTTTCTGTCTTATTTATGTAGCCACTTTTCAATACAGTGCTTGTCAAAGTCGTCTACAAATTAAATGAAAAGAAATAATTTAAACCCTTCATTAAACAACTAATTCTTGAAAACCATATATTTATGGTTATATATAATATATAAATATATCCATTAAACAAAATCATGGTATAGTAAATAATGTATTGATATATTTTCATGAAGTATTTCATGTAATACAAAAGGAAATAAAGTTGCAGATTTTTAACAGAATGGCATATAAATGATCTTAAATACCTTGTTTAAATTAAATTGTACCAACAAATATAGGTCTCTCTCATAGGTGTCTGTAGAGAAAAAAAAGTGATGTATTTTAATTTTTTAAACAAGAATAGTTAATAGTAGTATATTTAATTTTCTTTCTAGGTAAAAAAAAAGTTACCAAATTCTATGCATGCATTTCTAATTAAAATCTAATTGACAAAATATAGTTTATATCTATGATTTTATCTAAAGTCCATTATTGCCATATGAATCTTACTCCTAAGACTTATTAAATACTTATTTGTCAAATTGTAACAACTTCATGACAACTATCGAGGATATTTTTCAACTGCTCCTGTTGTCCAGAAGAAGAAAGTCAATCCAGAAATAGTTAAATAAATTTTCAAAAGTGAAGCAACTAATCATTTTGAAGGTCTGGAATCAAGCACAATTTTTCTTGAGTTCTAAAACTGTACTTATGTAAAAAAAAATAAGATTAAGAAGATGGGAACAAAAGTATAGTCAAATACATGATTGAAGTGAATATTGGAAACATGAAAATAGTGACACATTTTAATGCACCTTTTCACACACACACGGTAACATTGTATTCTTTAATTCACTAAAAGTAATTTGCAGCTTGTTTTCCTATGCTATTCTCCCATACTCTTCTCTGTATATACTAATATATGCATGGTTAATTTAATATGCACTGTGAGGTACATTTAATGTGCTTTAAGTATTTTAGTTTTAACATTTAAATAAATAACTTTAGCATAAGTTTGAGAAACGATGTTTAAGCATGGAATTATATTTTTAAAATAATAATAACAGGTACTAGGAGGATATGATCAATATTGCTGAATGAGAGGAAGATAATAATCTCATATTAACCAAGGACACATATGAGTCTATTTCACTGGGACAGGCACATGACTTAACATGTTACTAAGTTGTAACTTTATGTAGCTAAAAATGCCAATTTTTTAATGTATACACATTTTATGGTAAGTTTATGTTTTTAAGTTTGTCTGTCATTGGTTTTCTTTGTGAGAAAGAACACGACTGTAAAATTATGATGTATCACAAAATTGGAACATTTTTGTTTAAAAGAAAGAATACAATCCAAGTCTGGTGGTGCACATCTCTAATCCCAAAATTTTGAGAGGCTAAATCAGAAGGAGGGCGAGTCCTGAGGCCAACCTACACTATTTAGTGACTTAGAAATATCTTGTCTGGGAAAAAAAAAAAAAAAAAAAAAAAAAAAAAAAAAAAAAGATAGTGGCTGAATATGTAGCTCATAATGAAGGCTCTGAGTTCAATTCTCAGTACCAAGAAAGAAGGGAAGGAGGGAGGGGTAGGGAAGGAAAGATATAAAGACAGCAAATAAAGGGAGATAGGAAGGAAAAAAGGAAGGAAGGAAGAGAGGGAGGGAGGGAGGGAGGGAAGGATGATATACGGGCACGTACCAACTAGACTGATGTGTTTGTTGTGAGAGAAAACTTTGGAAATTCTGATCTACTAAATTCAGAGCCTAAGTATTTCTTCTACAATATTGGTGGTATTTAGTCAAGAAATTTTGTAAAATCTTTATACCCACTATAATAAATATACCGAGATTGTGACAATAAAAAAGCAAGTATAATTATTTAGAAAAAAATATATACTTATATAAATGAATCATTATTTGAATTATGCTATTAATTTCCAATGATTAAAGTCAGCCATGAAATTTGAGTAGCTTGAAGGCCACGCCAAGGACTATCATGATATATTTTTATAGGAGAAACCAGAGAAATAATTTTAGGAGAAGTTTATCTCTCAGGACATTAGAACAAATAAGCTCATTTTGTTCAATTAGGAGATTCAAAGAATCCAAATCTCTTAGGTCTTCAGACATTTAACTGATTAAGGGTAATCATTAAATATTTGGGAAATTGTCTAAGTTGGTTCAATTCAACATTAAGTTCTATTATAAGCTTTGAATAGCTTTGAACTAACTTCCTAAATACAATAACATGCACACAGGTCATTTTTCAGAACAGACCACATGCTAGCTCTTAGAACATGTTTAAGTAAATGCAAAAGAATTGAAGTTATTCCATGTGTATTATCAGACCACAGTGGAATTAAACTGGAGATCAATACCATAAAAAACACTATAAGAACTTCACAAACACATGGAAATTAAATAATGTTCCCCTGAATAACCAATGGCTCACAAAGGAAATTAAAGAAGAAATTAGACCGGTTTTACAATTGAATGACAATACCAGTACAACATAAAGGAATCTATGGGATACAATGAAAGCAGTTTTATGTGGGAAATTCATAGCAATGAATGCCCACACTAAGAAAACAGAGCAAGCCAAAATAAACAACCTAATGGTGAATCTTAAGCTCCTACAAAAAGAAGAGCAAGAGAAGCCCAAAGCAAATATAAGGGAGTAAATTATAAATATCAGAGTTGAAATCAATGCAATGGAGACTAAGAGAATGATACAAAAAAAATCAACAAATCGAAGAGGTGGTTTTTGAAAAAGAATAAATAAAAATGATAAACCCTTAGCAGACCTTATCAAAAAAAAGGAAAGAAAAGGCTCAAATTCATGCAATTAGGAATGAAAATGGTGAAGTCACAGCAGATTCAGCAGAAATCCAGAAGACCATCAATACTTACTTTGAGAACTTGTACTCTAATAAAAAGCATAACACAGAAGAAAATAGACAGATTTCTAAATACATATGAATTACCAAAGTTGAACAAAGAAGATATAAAATTCTAAACACCCCAATTATAATAAATGTAATTGAAAATGCAATTAAAAATTTACCAATAAAGGAAAGCTCAGGTCCTGATGGCTTCACTGCTGAATTCTACAAGACATTAGAGAACTATTGCCACTGCTCTTTAAACTTTTCAATGATCTTGAAAGGGAAGCAATACTTCCAAATTCATTCTTAATAGAGTCAAGGAACAAAAAGCATATAATCCTCTAAATAGATGCAGAAAAAGCATTAGACAAAATGCAACACCCATTTATTATAAAACCCTGAAGAAAATTGGAATAGACGGTCTATATCTCAACTTAATTAAAGCTATCTATGAAAAGCCAACAGCCAACATCATGCTAAATGGTCAGAAACTGAAAACCTTCATGCTAAAATCAGGAACAAAAAATGATGTCCACTTTCACCACTCCTGTTCAATATCATTCTGGAAACATAAGCCACAGCAATTAGAGAAGAGAAAGAAATAAAAGCAATAAAGATAAGAAAGGAAGAAGCTAAACTGCCATTACTTGCTGATAATATGACACTCTACATAGAAGAACCAAAGAACTCCACCAAAAGACTTCTAGACTTGATCGGCAGATTTAGTAGAGTAGATGGATACAAGGTAAATTCTCAAAAATCAATAGCATTTTTGTACACAAATAACAGTCTCACTGAGAGTGAAATTGGGAGAACAATCCCTTTCACACTAGCATCCAAGAAAAAAAAAGAAATATCTCGGGATCAATCTGACAAAGGAAACAAAATACCTCTACAGTGAAAACTACAGCAGTCTGACAGAGATTGCAGAGGATATTTTTTTTAAAAATGGAAAAACATCCCCTTTTCCTGAGCAGGAAGAATCAATACAGTGAAAATGGCCATACTTTTAAGACTGCTGTACAGATTCAGTGCAATCCCTATTGAAATCCCAACAGTATATTTCACAGAACTAGAGAAAATAATTTAAAAATTTATTTGGAATCAGAAGAGGCCTAGAACAGCAAAAACAATGCTAGGCAACAGAGACATAGCAGGGGGTATCACAATCCCCAACTTGGAACTGTACTACAAAGCCACTGTGATAAAAACAGCATGGTACTGGCAAAGAAACACAGACCTGAGGATCAGTGGAACAGATTAGAAAATGCAGGAATCTTCTGACATACTTAGCTGTCTCATCTATGCCAGAGAAGCCCAACACCCTCTCTGGAGGAAAGATAGCCTCTTTAATAAACGGTGTTGGAAAAACTGGATTTCAACTTTTCGAAGATTAAAACTAGATCCTTATATTTCACCATGCATTAAAGTAAAATCCAAGTGGATTAAATATTAAAACAGAAACTCTAAACTTGCTGGAAGATAAATTATGTAGAACTCTAGAAAATATTGGCATAGGAAAAGGCTTTATGAACAAATCCTCAGTAGCATCTGAACTAGCACAAAGAATCCACAACTGGGATCTAATCTTTTTAAAAAGCTTCTGCACTGCAAGATAAATCACAAGCAGAGCTAAGAGATAATACAATATGGGGGAAAAATTACCAGCTTTTCTTCACCAAAGGTCTATTATCTAAAATATATAAAGAATTCAAAAAAAAATCAGACTCCCCAAATACAAAGACCCAGTTCAAAAATGGACACCTGTAGTGAACAGTCATTTCTCAAAGAAGTAAAAGCACCAAATAATCATATGAAAAAATATTCAACATCACTGATCATTCGAGAGATGCAGATGAAAATAACAATGGGATTCCCAATAAGAATGGCTGCTATCAAGAAATCAACCAATAACAAATGCTGGAGGAGTTATGGGAGAATAGGAACCCTTCTTGATTGTTGGTGGGAGTGCAGACTGGTGCATCCCCTGTGGAAATCAATATGGAGATACTTCAAACAACTAGGATTAGAAGTCCCATTTGACCCAACTAGTCCTCTGTTGGGTATCTTCCCCAAAGAATTAAAAGAATCATACCACAGTGATACAGGCTCACCCATATTTATAGTGGCACAGTTTGTAATAGCTAAATTTTGGAAACAGCCCAGATACTGGGGAATGGATAAAGAAAAAAAATTTTATATATAAAATGGAGTACTACTCATCCATAAAGAATGAGAAACCAGAGAGACTTATAGCTAAGTGGATGCACACTGAGACCATACTTTTAAGTGAAATTAATAAATCACACATGTGTAAATACTGAATGGCTTCTCTGGTGTGAAAGAGTAAAAGTGTAAATAAGGATTAAAATGTATAATTGATATTGTATAATAGGAAGAACAAGTCTAAAAGAGTAGAGGAATTGGAAGGGATAGGAGACAGGTAAAAAAGGAAAAAGAAGGGCTGGTAATTTAGCTCAGCGGTTCGGTGGCCTCCCTTGCAAGCGCAAGGAACCGAGTTCAATCCCCAGCACCAAAAGAAAAAAGAAAAAATATGTGAAAAGGAAAAACATGCAAACAATGACTTTGTAAACAGGGAAAGGTGGAGGGGCAGAAGGGAGGGCTGGGGAATAGGGAAAAATAACAACCTGATAAGTCATGTAAAGGTACAAGACACCAATGGTGAATGTAACTACATTTTATACCTAAAATGTACCAATAAATTTGATAAAGATAAAAATATGTAATATAAAAGAAAGGTGTAACAATATGTATGGCATCAATTTTATCTGCTAAATAAAACACTTACCTATACTGTCTCCATCATCCCAAAACAGAGATCCTTTTGCCATCTGATTATCATCTGCAGCAACAATGAGCTTCATAAAATTTGTTCGACTATAAGAAATACATATATTTATCTAAGTTTGCAGAATATCACATTTTAAGTGCTATGGCAGTTATATAGGCATCTAATGAACACAAACAGGAATAACATTTAAATAGAGTGTAAACTGATTTGAACAAGGAAAATTAAGAATTCTTTCTTTTGTATAATAAGGAATAATGTTTTTAATTGAATAATTCATATGTAATTCATCATATTTAGTACAAAAGTAATTGATTTCTTTTGATTTTATGGGTTTTCCTACTGTAACTAACAGAACTTATAGTAGTTAAAAACCTATTAGTTTAATTGATAGTCTTCTCCCTGGGAGCCAGGCCTTTACCATTAAGCATTCCAACTTTAATAATATTTAATCACTTGTGACTTGTCTTCCTCATATTTCCAAATACAAATCAATAAATTATCATTGGAAATTGTTAAAAAGTGGTGTATCACCAGCAAACTCTAAGTCCTATTTATGTGTCCCAACTGGTGCATCTCACTGACAAATACACATTGGAAAAGACAGAGTGACAGGAAAAGTCTCTCATAACAAAATTAAGGATGCTTCAAGGCACAAAGTTTGGGGTTTTTAGGTTGTCACTTATTAGGTGCAATTATTTTCTCCAGTTTAGTTGATGTTAGCATAAATATAAAACTGTAGAAGATGAGATTCCATAAGATGAGAAGACTCTATCCAAGCCAAATTGGCTGCCAGATGTTGGTAACGAAGAAAACAGTTAAAGCATAAGAAGAAGAGAAACGGACTGAATCCTCTGGAATGTGATCATTTAAACCACATATTCCACATATTAAAGGTAAAAAATGGCCTAGACAAGGCATCCATTCAAAAGACTTTGCCAATACTTTTGTATATTATATACAAATGGTATTAAGTTTTAGCTTTTATTTTGGACTGAGAAACTTTCTCGGATTAAAAGAAGAATTCTCATTGAAGGACAGTTTTTCATGACCTTTTGCATTGGTGTATGTGCCATGTACACAGAGATTTATGGATAGCTTTTCATCTGAATTATCTTTTTTAAGGTTTTAGAAATAAGCAGCATTAGAAAGGGTAAGATTTTTTCAACTGTATTAGTTATCATCCACTGTAACAGAGACAGTGCCTCTTTTCCAAGCAAATGATGGGTAGGCTTTTTAGCAGCCCATTATAAAATATCCAATTCCTTTAAACTCAGGGTTGCTCAGCTGAGGCATAAGCCTTCTACACGAGCAGCACCTGTGTGGGCCACTTGCCATCACCGCACTGGAACAGGAGCAACAAGGAAAACTGAAGCTAATGTAAGTTTCTGTTTCTTCTTAGGCTAAAGAATAAATAACACAGTCTCTCATCTCCGATTCAGTACCCATAACATCAGGTAAGCATCATGTAAGAATTTCAGGTCCTGTCTAATTACTGACATTTCTAGTAGGATTTGGAGCAAATTTAATCAGAGCCCTAAAAACAATTAGCTTACCTGTAAAATGTGTTTCGATTAGGTTCTTGACATGGTAGGATATAACCTCCACGGATATGTAGGTTTATTGTATCAAGTGGAGCATCAAAATTATGAAATTGTCCTCTGACACCTACATCTTGACGCTAGACATAAGAAAGAAAGAAAGAAGAACAAGAGCAGGAGATGGGATCCATGGCAAAGTAAGTACTTGAGGGGACACATTTTGAGATCAAATGCTACACTTTTCAACTTGAGACAATACAAACACAAATATTTACTGAAGAATTCATATTGCCCAAAACATATCTTAAAAACCTAGTGAAGTAAAGATCTTTATAATAGTCCAGCAAAGTAATTTACAGATATTTGTTTTTGTGGAACTCACACGCAGAAATTGTGTGGATTCTGAAAGGTCACAAAAGCCATTCTTGTGCATTATTCTTGGAAGGACTGAATTTATTTTAATGATCATTTGCTAAGCCAATAAAGGGCGATGACCTTTTTGAATATAATTTACACTTTCCTTGTTTATTTACTAAAACAAATCAATGATGACAAACAAAATATAGGAAAATAAATCAACTTTCTTTTATTGTTTGTTAATTTGATTTACTATAACCAGCAAGAACTATTTCACTTTTTAAATGGAAATATTTCCTTTTAAATGGAAAATAAACATGCCTCATTGATTACAGCAATAGCAACCAAACTCTTATCTATTTCTCTTGAATCAATTTCTCAGAATTCTTTTTTTTTTTGTTTGTTTGTTTGGAACTGGGGTTCGAACTCTGGTCCTTGCGCTTGCAAGGCAGGCCACCAAACCGCTGAGCTAAATCCCTGGCTCTCTCAGAATTCTTTAAATACTTACTGTATGATAGTCAAACCACAGAGCATCAGGGACATAGCCACGTACAGTTTCTACATACTGGAATTTAAAGATATAATCATTAAAAACACATAAACTCACATGTTATTTTATGAACAAAATAAGTGGCAGGACTTACAGGTTCCAGTACAGGAGTAACCATAAAGGCTGGTCCCCACAAGAATTGCTTGAATATATCCCAGGTTGTCTTATCATTAAAAAACCTTGACAAAAGAAATACAAATAATACATTAAATCTGAAGTTAAATATTCTTGCATATATTCAGCAATTTCTGAATTTGTGACAAATGGCCATAAAAAGGAAAATCTCTGTATAGTTTGAGAATAGCCAATATTAAATGCTAATATTTATCTTCCATTAAAATGAATGAATTTCTTAAAAATTGTTTACTGTATGATTTCAGTCTTATTTTACATAAATCTGAGATCAGTGCTAAAACAGACTGAGAGATCAACTCCTCCGTGAATTTCTCATGAATGCAAAGGCACAGGTATTCTCTAGTGTAAGAGTCAGTGTAATTAATAATATTGTTTGTGCTTGATGACTTGGTCCAGAGTGACAGTCCAACAATTCTGGAAAATTTACAAGGATAAGAAACATGTAGATTAATCTGTACATGAAAGAGTAAGGAAATCAGCAAAATGTTATCAGAAATATGGAATAGATTATAGTAGATAAATTGATAAGGCAACTCGAATATGTTTTGAACCAAATAAGAGTTTTTTAAACAAGTATTTTATTACGTTATTAGAATAGAAGACATTGATCAGACTAACATTTTGGTAATTTTATTAGATTACTGTTGCTTTAATTTGAGTAAATCATTTCTGATTTTGCTCCTTATCAATAACGAAGCCTGAGAAATCACCTCATTTTATTACTGTTATAATACAGGGTGTTTAAGAAGAAAAGTATTTTTAATTATTTAAAAAGTTGTTTTATTGTTGTCATTGTAAGTTTTATTGTTGTATTCAACTAAGAATCTGCATCAGCCTTAAACATAGAAAAAGCAAAAATATTTCCAATAATGCTCCATGGATAAAATTTTCAAGATTTTTTCATATCACTTTGAGATTTAAGAAGTTTCCTTCATAATATATCTGGATTCTTCTTTTTCCCCATATCCTTGGTTCCCTCCAACCCCTCCAACCTTCTCTAGTTACAAAGTCTTTGTTTCGATTTTTTTCATCTTCTTATGTTAATTCCATTCTCGGTTACTTTCCCCTACCCCTCCCCTTCCCCTGTGCACCTCTGCTTCCTGTTTCACATTATCTGTTACACATTTTGGTCCTCATTTACACTTTCAGTTTCTCACACCAGCAAAACTATTTGGTATTTACACATGCGTGTCCTATTTAAATAGAGGTACAAATCTCCAATGATGAATATCATTATATTGTATACCTAAATTGTACCAATAAAATTACAATTTTTTAAAAAGGTTTGCTACAAAAGAAACTTCTAAAGAGAATATTTATCTCCAGGAAAGTCCAGTTTGTCTCCTTCTATGAGGCATCTGTATTTGGTAGATTTATTTAAAGTCACTAAAATATCAATTAAATTACAAAGCAGAATATTAATTTTCTCTAAGGAATTTTTAAAACTTTCAATGTAACTATGTATATAAAGTGTTTAGAATACTTGATATACAATTATCTTAAGAAGTTATTACTTTCAAGTAACTAAAAATGGGTTTGTTAACATTAATATTAGTCTATTTATTAGTAGAAATATTTACATAAGCATTTTTCACCCGAAGTGTATATCACAATACCCATATATGAGGTTATTTATTAGATTAAGTGAAATTATTTGTAGTAAGAAAAACCATATTGTAACTTACTCATGCAGAAGAGGTCGGATAACAGTACCTCCATGAGCATGAATTTCATGCATTTGTGTATAGAAATAGGGTAATAAAGTATATCTGATCTCTGTAACTTTCTTTGTCATGTTAACAAAAGTTTCATTCCAGGAAGCAGGATCTTGTCTCTAAACAGAGCAAAATGAAATAATTTATCTCTGAAAATCATAATATTTAAATATTTGTCAGGGTATAAAAAGTAGAAAAAGTATTAATCCACCATCCTGTTATATTTTTCTTCAGAACAAAAATCTTATTTCTATCATACATGATGAACTGAGAATGCCCAATGGTGTATTATTAATAGTGCAATAAGAAAACTACAAATAAAATGCAAGGCTTGCTTTAGCTTAGATGAACATATACAAAGAGTACTTCACATCTTAATATATAAGAAAATCCACTGTAAACTAGGGTGGCAGTGTTGGGTTAAGAAGTTTATGGGAGCAATGATGAGGTATGCTACATAAAACAGATTAAAATAATGAGACACATAGAGACCTCATCACATTAATCCCATAGGTTTTGTGTCCTCTTGAGAAGTGAAGAGATTATAGTACTACAGGTTCAATAGTAAAAGGGGTGGAGCAATAGTACAAATGTCAAATGAAAGAAAAGATAGCATGGGGTCTACTCTGGATACAATTGATATTAGAAGATTAAAAGGCTTTAAAAATGATAGTGACTATGCTAATTAATTATAGTTGGGAAAGTAAGTAGTATTTTATATTTAATTTATACCATGGACACAAAGCTACCATGTAACTCCAAGGGAAAACATGTTCAATATTTTTAATTTATACTGAAAACATTTTAGAGTTGTGACATATTTATGAAAATCACAACTATTCTAGATTTGGGGAATAAAAAAGTTTGAATAATGGCTGCGTATCATCACCAGTATATGCAGTGTTAAAATACAGAAAACTTTAAAATATTGAAGACATAGATCAACTCTCCAGCTATGTTTAATTCTATTGCTATTACTTTCAAAATAAGTTAAAAAAAAGAAGCAAAGATCATATTTGCTATTTATCAACATCATCAAAATTATTTCATGGTTTGTTATGTTAATATAAAAGCATTTAATTCTGAACAATACCTTCCTAAATTCAATTATATTAACTCATATTTAAACAAAATTTGCTGTCTCGTGTATATTTTATTTGTGTACATTTTTATTTTTCAGTATTTTCCTTCTTTATTTTGTCTATCTTTAAAAGCTCCAACCACATCACTTCAGGGAATCTCAGATATTTCTGCAACCTGGAAATCTCCTCCTCTATATCTTGTATTGAATGCTTGTATTCTCTCTCTTACACTCAAATGTCTCCAGTGTCTCACATTCAAGATTTCCTTGAGCACCTTTTGAAAAACTGACTCTCCACAAGACTATAACTTTACCACTACTCTATTTCCTCTCACGTTTAATAGCACCATATGTGTGAGTGTTTGTGTAGTATATATAATTTTTTTTATCTCTCCCTACAATACATGAATCATTGTCACAAAAACTTCACAAATATCTGATAATAGACTTTCAAGTAAAATGAAATAGTTTCTCCAGGTTTGCATTGTTTCATCCTTATTCTCCCAATATTATAGTTTTAAAAATTTTATTGACATAAATTTTCTATTAAAATATTCTTATTTATCTTACTTATGTCCTTACTACCTAAGTTTCAAGTTCTTCCTGTATGTATCTTTATAATTTCATGCTTAATAAAATAAATCCTTCATTTTAGTTCAACTCAATTTTGCCATGGATGGTGCAAAGTTTTGAAAGTATTTTGTGAGCTTATCTTTTGGAAACTATGACTAGATTCTGGCCTTCAAATACTTACTGTATTTAACCCTCTCATTGTTTGTATTTTGTTAATATATCTTTACTGTGCATTCTTTCACTTAGGCAATTTTCACAAATGTAGCATTTAGTAATATAATTCTCTAACTTTCCACAAGTCTCCACAAATTTTAGTAAAATTTCCCATATTACTCAGAAATGTCTGCCAAATGCTTTGTACCACTCAGAGAAACTAATTCTCTTAAATCCTTTTTTATATTATTGTTTCTCAATTCCTCAAATCATGGTTTGCATATTTGCTACCAACTTTATTCATTGTAAGTGATTTTTGCTTCCAATTATTTAACTTGAAGCTAATTTTTATATTGATCTGTCCCAGTTTAAAAGAGGTTTCAAAGGAAGATAATTTATTTCTTGACTCCTCCAATATTATACAAAACTGCATTAAACCATGCCAGCAATCCAAGCCATGCACCTCAAAATACAATGTAACATTTTTGAAGTTAGAAGACTCTCAACCTGATGATTAAGATATCCTTCGTAAATACGAAGAGGTTTAAAACATTCATCGGGAAATCTGGTATGAAGGGTGCATTATATTCAAAAACTTCTAAGATTATTTGCAGGGAAGGACTGGAAGTGAATGCAGTTATTACATACTCTAGTGAAGGCAATGTTGTGATTTCTTGAGAATGGATAAAATGCACCAAGTTGTGTCCAGCGGGAACAGAGATGATACTCCGAATTGTTGAAGAAACCACAGATGTCTGCTCCAGTCTAAAAGATATTATTATTATATTTAATTAAGCTTTTATAGCATGTTTCTCAATATTTGTAATTTATGAAGAGAAAAGAAATAGATCTACTTACATATGACAGTCCAAAGAGACTAAATTCCATCATACCTAAAATAATTGGGGAAAAGTATTACAAAGCTTTTCATAAACTTTAGTTTTCTTTACTTCTATTAGTGAAGAGATGCTAATAAAAACTATAGTTCACCAAAACAGCTTTCAGATCACTAATATAATATATCCAGGTATCACGTCCTATAATTCATCTTTTACTTCATAGCATATATAATATATATGCAAAATAAGCCAAAATATTAAATGACATTGAAAATATGACATATTTAGAGAGCACAACTATTTTAAAAACATTATAATAGTAGAATAAAATGATAGCAGTTATACTAGTTTTATTTTGTAAAAGAAGCCATTTCTGTAATTATTTAACTGCACCTATTAATATTTAAATGAATTGAATTATACTTCTTAAATACTCTAGGAAATAACCAGTTCAATGAATAAAATTCATGAAATTGCACAGAATATTTCTAAGTATTGGTTTCTTTGATTCTATCATTCATAAATAATTTTTAAGACTAGACAACAAATAGAAAAGTATCTTTTTCCAATTTAAAATAATATCTTGTTTACCATTTATATTGTTAGAAAATTGAAATTCATTTGGAAATGTTTCATTCTTTAGCTTTTAATCAGTGATTCTTATTCCCTACAATCTATAACTTCTACCTATTTCTTTACTCATGTTAGTAGTTGTGTTTCCCAGCTCCTGATCTTTTCGATTAGAAAACTTAGTCCAAGGAATATTAAGTTGTTTTCTTACAATAATCAGTTTTAGACTCTACACACTATTTTTGATCCTGCTTCCTATGCTACTTACCTTTCATGAGGCTGCTAAAAAATATGTCAAAAGCAAGATTCTGAGGATTTATAGTTTATGAATTAGCATTAGAAAGTTTAATAGAAAACACAAAATGACACAGATGATGATTCTCACATACCAATGATTGACTTGTCCAAATTTTCCCAGTTTGCATAGTTGTCTCCAAGCCAGTGTCCTGTCCAACGTCCAGCAGTAGGATACGTGGAACGAGAAATCACAATTCCTCTTTTGCCGGTTACCTTTTGTACTGCACTAATGTAGAAGAATTTGTATTTTGAGTTTTGACATGACATATTTTTGTCAAATACATTATTTTTGCCAAGGGGATAATCAATAAATTATAAATGTTTTTGTTTTTCTAAAATATCTATTGTTTTAGGAAAGTGATGTTAGTTGAGGGTAGTTGTTCCACAATATTATGCTCCAGTAAAGCTAATAAAGGGTACCACTGAGCTAAATCCCCAGCCCTGAAGGATATATTTGAGTCATTCATAGTAAAATTAATGGATCCTAAGCCTATAATGCTAAATGAAATATATCAAACATAGAAGTATAAATATTGCATGGTTTCTCTTATATGAGAGACATCTTAAAAAACAAGAAAATAGATTTTTAGGGGATATGAAGGGTTTCTGGGGAGGGGTAGGGGCACAGTAAAATGATTAAGATTATATATGCCTAAATATGTGTGACACACACATATCCCAAGATGAATGTAATTCATATGAGTCACAAATATATACCAATAGCAAAAAAATTAATGAAATTATTGTTTGTCCAAATAAAAAGGCATTATTGAAAATCAAATTGGTCATTCTTAAAAAGACTTAGGGTCTCTATTTTGGAGTCTGGTGAACAAATCTATAGTCATCAGTGAAGTGAAAAATTTTTAATTCATTCATTTGTTTGAAGTTAAACATTTAGTTGGTAGAACTAAAGCAAGCATTAAGTGAGAATTTTTATTTGTACATTCAAAATCCAGTGATGTAGAGAACTGTACTCTAATAAAGTGGCCACTAACCACTTATTATTTCAGATTCAATTATCACTTAAAATTAAATAAACTTTAAAATTCCAAGCCATACTAGCCACTGTACTCAACAGCCATGTATGATTCATGGGATGGCCAGAATGCTAGAACATTTGTATCACTACAGGACATTTTTTTGCAACAGAGCTAATAAATACTCGACACTTAGAGAACAGTTTGTTCCATTTCTATTGGTGTTACAAAGGAGTCTGTTTAAAGTGAAGATTAGGTGAATTTAAAATCTGAGAGATTCAAGGTTAATCAGAGATACTCAGGTTTTCCAATAAAATATTTAAATAAAATACTTAGCCAAGCTTTAATATCTCTATTAGTAATATCACATGATGTTATTTATACCTTTTATTCAGCTTTATTCCTTAAGAACCTACCATTTGTTGGGCACTGTGCTAAGAATGTTGTGGGAAGCAAGGTAAAAATGGTCTTGAATTCTTTTAGAAATATGATGAAAATTAAAAACAACAATCCATATGATAAACAGAAACACATTTTGTTTAAGGAAAGTGCAGAATAAGATGAATTATACAGTATAGTTATGAAAGAAAGGTCTACAAAGGCAGTTAAATAGGCAGCATTGAAGTTAAGGTCTGAAAGACAAAAACAAATGAGAGCATAATTACAAATACTGCTTACTCATAAGTAGGTTTTGCTTGTGACCATCCATACAGATTATGAACATCATAATGTAAAACTGATGATCCATCACCAAGAATCTGCTCAGTTTCCATGCACATAGTTCTGAAATGTAAGCCTTCAGTTCTTTTTGTAAGTTCTGGGGAAAATTTTTTAAAAAGCAATAATATATTATAAAGTGTCTTGCATTGAAATGTGTAGCTCATAGCTACCTTTATTCTTTTGGCTTACTGTATCTTTGTGATGGATAAAATATGTACACATATTTATAAGGTACAATGTGCTGCTTTGTTTGATTCATGTATATAGTAAGTAGTAATCAACTCTGGTTAATTAACATATCCATCATCTTAAGACTTTCATTTTTTCAAATATTTTTAGATATATAACCCCTTATTATAGATTATATTCATTATATTGTGCAAAAGAATATGAGAATTTATTGTTTCAAAGTAGGACATTGCACCAGCTGACATTCTTTTTACAAAGAAAACAATCATTTCTCAATAATTAACTTTTAACCATTTGTTCACTTTCTCTACTTATAAATAAACAAACTAATCTGCAAGTCTAAGTTAATTGCATGAATGAACATCTAACAATTAGTAAATAGTAAAACTTTTTGATTCACTTATATTTTCTTCATATAAGTTGCTTTTTTCAGATCTTTGCTGTCACTTTGTATGTTACTAACTTCGGTCATGGATAAGCAAAGAAATGATAAAATATTGCACGTATTCCTAGTTAAAATAAATAAACATTTATTGAGGTAATGGTGTGGTTTTTGTCCTTGGCTCTATTAATATGGAGTATTACATTTTTTACTTCGTATGTTAAATCATCTCTGCATCCCCAGGATGAATTCCACTTGGTAATGAAGAATAAGCTTAATTATTTGCTGCAGTCTCTTTGCCAGTATCTTACAAAAGATTTTTGTGTCTATCTTCATTAAAAGTGGCCTTAATGATTGAGTTCTTCTCTGGTTTTGGTATCAGAGTAATGCTTGCTTCCAGGAATGAGTTTGGGAATACTGCTTCTTTTTCAGTCTCTTTAGAGTTTGAGGAATCATGGCATTTGTTATTTAAAGTTCTTGTACAATTTATCAGTAAATCAGGACCTGGACTTGCTTTGTTGGTAATTTTTTTAAAGCAAGTTTATTGGTGCATTTTAGGTATACAGTAAAGTTACATGCATTATTGGGATCTTGTAGCTTTACATGACAGGTATTCTTGGTTCTCATTTTTTCCCCTTGTCCCTGTCCTCTCTTCCCTCCTCCCCCCTCCCCCCTCCCCATTTACAAACACTTTATTCCCATTTTGTTCATTTTCTCATATTTTTCCTTTTCCCTTATTACCTTTCCCCTACCTTTCCTACTTTCCCTACACCTTTAGCCCTTTTCTTCCTCTTTCACATTGTCAATTATCTCGTTAGGATCTCATGTACTATTATAGTTTTTCACACCAGAGAAACTATCCAATATTTACATGTGTGACATTTATATCACTTAGGAGTATATCTTCAATATGTATCCATTTTCCTATGAATCAATCTAATTTCTCATTCTTTGTGGCTGAGTAGTATTCCATTTTATAGAAAAACCACATCTTCTTTATCCAGTCTCCAACTGATGGGCAAATGGGCTGTTTCCAAGTTTTAGCTATTACAAACTGTGCCTCTATAAACATAGGTACACATATATCACTGTGATATGATTCTTTTAATTCTTTCAGAAAGATACCCAGCGGAGGGATGGCTGGATCAAATGGAAGCTCTAGTCCCAGCTATGTGAGGTATCTCCATACTGATTTCCATAGTGGTTGCACCAGTCTGCACTCCCACCAACAATGGAGAAGGGTTCCTTTCTCCACAACCCCGTATATGATTCTTTTAATTCTTTCAGAAAGATACCCAGCGGAGGGATGGCTGGATCAAATGGAAGCTCTAGTCCCAGCTATGTGAGGTATCTCCATACTGATTTCCATAGTGGTTGCACCAGTCTGCACTCCCACCAACAATGGAGAAGGGTTCCTTTCTCCCCACAACCCCGCCAACATTTGTTATTATTTGATTTCTTGATAGCAGCCATTCTTTGTGGGATGAGGTGGAATCTCAGTGTTGTTTTCATCTGCATCTCTCAAATGACCAGTTTCAATTTTATTGGTTAATATTGGGCTATTTTGAATTTTTGTATCTTTTTTATTAAGCTTTGGTAATTCATATGTATCAAGTAATCTCTTTGTTTCTGAATTTTCCATCTTTTTAAAATACAGGTTCTAAAAGTATATATCAATGACTCTTGGATTTCTGCAAAATCCATTCTGATTTCCCCTTTTCCTTCCTAATTGCATGAATTTGTTTCTTTTATTTCCTTTTTTGATGAGTCTGGCTAAGAGTTTTTCTATTTTATTTAATTTTTCAAAGAACCAACTCTTGAATTCACTGATTTTTTTGTATTGTTTTCTCAGACTCAATTGCATTAATATCTGCTCTGATCTTTATAATTTACTTCTTTGTTTGCACTTTGGATTTGACTTCCTCTTCTTTTTCTAGATGATTTAAATTGAAAATTAGGTGACTTACTTGAGTTTGGTCTGTTTTCCTGATGTGAGAATTCACAACTATAAATTTCTATCATAGGACTGCATTCATTGTATTCCATACATTCTGATACATTCTACTGACATTATCATTCAATTGTAGAAACTATCTAATTTTTCTTTAACTTCATCTGTGATCTACTGTTTGCTTAGCAGCATGTCATTTAATTTCCATATATTCATGTAGTTTTCATGGTTTCTTTTATATTGACTTTTAATTTCATTGCACTATGATCTAATAATATGCATTGGATAGTTTCAGTTTTTTGCATTTACTTAAGCATGTTCTATGAGCTAGTATGTTGTCTATTTTGGACAAAGTCCCATGTGGTGCTGAAGTGAATGTGTATTCTGCTGTTGTTGGATGGAACACTCTGTAGATATGTGCTAAGTCCATTTGTTCAAAGGTTTGGTTCAGTTCTGTTATTTCTTTGTTGATTTTTTTTTTTGTCTAGGTGATATATTTGTGACTGTGGGGTATTGAGGTCTCCCATGATAACAATATTAATTTTTATCTGATTTTTCATATCCATTAGTGTTTGTTTTATATAATTGGGTGTACAGTCTTGGCTTGAAATCCACTTTGTAGAATATCTCTTTCTAGAATATCCTTCAGAATATTTGTAGTGCTGGTATGAAGGCCATGAATTTTTTCACATGATCTTTATTATGGATATATAATATTTATCCATCAATTTTGCAAGATAATTTTGCAAGGTACAACAATCTTCATTGGAGGATGTTTTATTTTAGGGATTAAAAGACTGCATTCTAAGCTTCATTTTATTTATAACACTTAATAGTTTATGCTGTGAAGTGCTGTAATTCTGACGTGTTTTCCTTTAGAGGTGATTTGTTTCTTAACTATTATGTCGGTGTGTTATTTGTTTTTCTGATTAGGGCTCAGTTACTTTCCATATGGGTCACTTATCTGCATGTCAATTTTTTTTTCTCATTGGAAAAGTTTGGGACATTTTTCTGCTCTTACTTCTGTAAAAACTTTTTATGTCCTATGTGTTGTCTTCTGATTTTCCCTTGATTCCAGTTAGTCTTATCTTCTTTGGATCATCTAGATTGTATTGATTTTTCATGGTCTCTTGCTATTGTTAAGGAGTCTTTCATTTGATGATCACATCCCTGTCTTCCAAATCCCATACTTTTTAGATTGGTTGATTCAGCTGCCAATATTTTGAATATAATGTTTAATTTCTTGGATATTTGTTTGTATCTGTTTCACTGCACCCAGTTCTTTCCTATGTTGAACATTCATACTTTCCCTAAGCTCCTCTTCTTTTTAATCTATATCTACTCTAGATTCACTGATCATTTCCTTCATTGTGGTTATCATCTCTTTAGCTATCCATGTGATTATTTCTGATTTGTTTTCATCTGGTCATTTATTTATCTGTTTTGTTACTTGTGCTGATACCACTTCATAAAGTTCAGGTGAGAGGCTTTTGATTTTTTCCACTTTGAAGCCCTCTGCGCTTGCTTTTGATAAACTGAGTATTTTAAATTGAATTTTGCTTCTGTTTTCTCATTTTTTATTTTAATTTTTAATTTTTTCTTCCTTTTTAATAAATGTTTCTAGGAAAATTGTCCATATGTTGAAGATTAAACCTAGATCCATTATATCTCATCACACACTAAATTAAATTAAAAATGAATGAAAGATCTAAATATTAAAACAGAAACACTTAATCTGCTAAAGAACAAAATAGGTAAAGCCCCCGAAGACACAGGTGTAGGCAAAGACTTTATGAAGTATATGTCAATTGCCCAGGACATACAATAATGAAGAACCAACTGGGATCTCATCATGTGAAAATGTTTTCAGACAACAAAAGAAACCACCAACAGAGTGAAGCGACAACTCACAGAATGGTAAAACAAAAATTATCAACTGTAGAAGTAAAAAAAAAAAAAATCACACACCCCCACATTTAAAGTCCCAATCCAAAAATGAGCATCTGAAATGAAAAGACACTTCCCAGATTAAGTACACACAGCAAATAAATATATAACAAAATGTTCAGCATCACTGGTAATTTGAGAAATGCAAATTAAAACAGCATTGAAATCTCATCTCACTCCAGAAAGAACAGCTGTCATCAAGAAATCAACCAATAACAAATGCTGGTTAAGCTGTGGGGAAAAGAAACTATCTCCATTGTTGATGGGTGTATAAATTGGTGAAACCACTGTGAAAATCAGTATTGAAATTTCTCATAAAACTAAAATTAAAGATTCCATGTGATCCTGCATTCTCCCCTTTGTATCTTTCTGAAAGAGTTAAAAGCAACATGTCGCAGGGATATATGTACACCCAAGTTGGTAGCAGCACGATTTATAACACTTATTCTCGGAAGCAGACCATATGCCCATCAACTGCTGAATGGATAAGGAAAATGTAGTTTTTATATCCAGTGGGTTACTAGCCTGCCATAAAGGTGGACAAATATCAGAAATCTGTAAGGAAATCAATGCACCTTGACACTATACTTTAAGTGAAATAAATCAGACATATATATCTTTAGATATTGCATTCTTCCTCTTGTGTTACAAACAAAAAACATAATTAAGAACAAAAATGTGTGAGAACATTAAGAGGTAGGAAGAAGTTGTTCAGATGAGAAGGAAAGGAGAAGGGATTGAAGGGAAAAATAAAAAAGAGATTGAAAGAAAAAATAGAAGCAACACTTTTGTAAATAGAGAGCTTGAAGGGTGGAGAAAGGAATGGGACAAAACTAATTAAGATATATTATGTACAGGCACAAATTTGCTATGATAAATGTGATCATATGTACGAAAAGTATGTAGCAGTAAAATAGTTTAAATAAATTTTTAAATATAAAAAAATTCTATTTAAAACTTTTGTACTTAATATGTTTTAACTTTGAAAGATTCTTTGGAAAATCAAAGTAAAAATTTTAAACAAAGTTGGAATTATCTTCACATAAATAGAAATATTTGACATTTTTCCCTCTAAATAATGTTTAATAATATTAATAATGGCTCCAAGTGTGTGGCCCAGTATGAAAGTGTATAATAAAAATAAGAATGTGAATCCCATTCCCTTCATTTGGAAGTGTATATAAACTGATTAATAAATATTAATAATAAGATATTTATACCTGGAAAATAAGGTGGATAGTTGAGCTCTACATTTCTGCACTGATTAATAGTTGTTCCATTTACAAAACTTGATGGTTCATTCATATCCTTAGAGAGAAAAAAAGATTTTAGAAAATATAGAACATATATTCTGAATAGTAATAATTCAGATAGCAAATAAATTAAAATGGCTTTAAAGTATTATATTATTTACTTTGTTTTAAAATGTTATTTACTTATTTTTTAAATAAAACTGTAAAATGACTTAATTTTTTACCTCTTATTCCTCCTTTGAGAAAGAAAATGTCATTTTAAAATATTATTTTAACTGCATGGTACCCATAAAAATGGATTAACTTTTATATTTCCAAGGCATATGAGATATGATAGAAAAACACAGTGAATTCTACTGTCTTAATTACTTTTCTGGTGGTTGAGACAAAATACTTGATGCCCAGAGTTATAAAATGAGAGAAGTTTGTTTGTAGCTCACACTTTGTAGAGGTTTCAGTTCATGGTTGGCTCCAAGATAGGGTAGCATAGAAGAGGGGCATCACAGAGGAGAACTGGTCCACAGCAAGCAGCAGGTAGCAAAGCAAGTGAGCAACAACCAACAAGCAGCAATGGTAGGTTCTTTCTATCCATTTATATTCTATCTAGGCTACCTGCATTTAGGGTTGGTAGCACTCATACCCAGAACTATGTAATAGTCTCAAATATTCGTCAAATAAACAAATGTCTCAAACCAATCATCAGTGGACTGTTTTAGTAATCACACACCTTTAACCCTGGTATCACACATCCTAGATCCAGCCATCTCTGAAAAAGCCCCACCTATACCTGGACTGCAGAAAGTTTTGGGAGGACATCTAGACAAAAGCCATAACATTCTTCCCCTGGCCCTCCAAACTCATGCACATCCCATTATGCAAAAGGCATTTTGTTCATCCTTAAGAGCTGCCCAAGTCCTAACAGTTTTAACACTGCTAAAAAATCTAATCCAAAGTTTCCTCTGAGATTTAAGGCAAACTCTTAGCCATGAGCCCCTGTACAATGAAAAGAAGTTAGACACTTCCAACATTCAGTGGCATAAGATAGACATTTTCCTTCCAAAAAGTATAGTTTGGGGGATAGAAAAGAATGGGAACTAAACAAGACCAAAATCCAGCAGGGAGAACATTAAATCCCCATATCCAGCATCCCCAGCAACATGAGGTAAGTGGCAACCTCCAAAGGGCTTGGGTGGTTACCCGCTACCGCACTTCTGGTAGTTATAGAATCCAGGGCTTCTCTCTTGGGCCGGTTTTGCTCTCTTCTGATTACCTCCTTTCCTGACTTCTCCAACTTTCTGGGTGTGCACTGCACCTTCAGCTTCACATTCACAGCTACCCCCACTGCCCCCTTTAGGGTTCTCTGCTTGGCCTCCCAGGCTTTTTCTAAAATCTGAGTAGAAGGCTTCCTGAATACACAACTCTTGCATTCTGCATGGATCTAAAACCAGCACCATATGGAAGACACCAAGGTCTATTGCCAGCTGGAGCAGCAGCCAGGCTCCCTTCTCTCTTGGCTATAGGGGTCGAGTGCCTGAACTGCTGAACACTCTGAATCCAATCCCAAGAAACAACTTCCACTGCCATTCTGAAACATAGTGCCTTGGGGCACTCTTCTCAAAGCAAAGTCTTCAGCTTCTGTAATTTTGAAGCTGCAAAGGTTGGAGTCCTTCAGGGTGCTGGTTCTTGTGATGTTCCTCATGTCATTTTTTTTTCCTGTTGTTTTCCAGCAATCAAGCTTTCCTGTGCTCTAACTTTGTAGTCCTCAACATTACTCTAGCATCCTTTCTCACATTTTAAATCATTCTGCTGAGTTTTTGCTCTTAATTCTCAGGATAGATCTGGCTAAAACCCCCAACAGTAGCCATGCCATGGCCTCAATATTAGATTGTCTTGAAATTTCCTCTGTTAGATTCAGTCCACCATCCTTAAGCAGTTTCAGGCAAAGTTTAGAAATATGAGCAAAATGCAGGCACCCTTTCAGCCAAGCCATACCATGCATGTTCTAGAATTAAGACAATGAAATCCTCCTTCCCAGCTCAAACCTCTTGAGTCTGGTCTTTACCAGCAGCACTGCTATAATCATTCTTTTCTTGGGGGCTCTGACAAGAATCTCCCATCAAGTACAGCCTCAGGTGTTTCAGGGACACTTTTATAGCCATCATCTCTAAACCTTTCCAAACTTTCCACAATTCCAAAGGCTCCTGAACTAGGAATGATGCCACTCTCATTATCTAATTCTATCTTACTTACTTTTTGTCTCTGCTGAGATAAAATGCCCAAAACTAAAAGTTAAAGGAGGAAAGATTTATTCTCGTAAAAGTTTATACAAGTCTCAGTCCATAATCAGCTGGCTCCTGCTGGGTCTGGGAGAGGCATTGCAAAGGAGAAACAGTTCATGGTGGCCCATAAGTAGTAAAACAAGGAAGTGACTAGCAAAAATAGCTTGTTTCTGCCCTTTTAGATTCTATCTAGGCTGCCAATTTTAGGGTGGCTGCCAAGCCAAACCAAAGACTAATTTGGTAACCACACACCCTTAATCCCAGCATCACACACTCTAGATCCAGTCACCTCTCAAAACCCACCTATGACCACATACTGGCATGGGGAACATCTGGACACAAACATAATAACTACTACTGGAGTCATCCAGCAGAAGCAGGGATCTCTGTTAAGAGATTTGTGCATCAGGTTTTAGGAGCAGGTGTGACAAGTTTCAACTTGTTTGATGTGCTGGTAATTTGTGAACTATGGGTGCAACTAGGTATGTTTTAAAGTGTGGTATAAATCTTAGATCACAAACAATCCATTTTATTGAAGTTGTGTGAACATGATACTTCATATTTCAACTTTTCAAGAAATTTGGATTTATGGTTATGATCTTAAGAACAAGATTCAGAACTCTGGATGAAAATTCCCCAGCTCTCATTTTTAAAAAATGAGTCAGTAGTGACCCAACATTAGTGTGATGCTGATTTTTGTTTGACCTTGTGAGAATAGTGTGAGCTGACTGCACCTAGGAACACTACAGTCCACTCTGAGTATTGTAAGGGCTTATTATTTAAGAAATAATGTGTGTGGGAAACAGACTAAATAATGGACAGATGGTGTCATCCTCCATCATGACAATGCTGAATATCAGGCGTGGCTTTTGGTACAGTAATTTCTGTCACACAAAAACATTACACTGCATCCTCATCCACCTTATTCACTGAATTTGGAACCTCTCAACTTTTGGTTCTTCCCCAAAGTCAAAATGATCACGATAGGTAAATATTCTGAATCAATTCAGGATATTGAAGTTGTCATAGCAGCACAACTAAAGATATTAAAAATTTTCAGAACTTCTTCAGAAAGTGGCAAGAATAGTGGGATAAAAGTGTCCAAATAAGGGGCAGTATTTTCAGGGGACTTAATGGTAATGTGTCTTTTACTGTATCAAGATTGTTTAAATTTAAATATTCATCATATCTTGTGATTATAGCACTTAAATTATCTAAATGTATGTCTCAACTATCTCCTCTTAACTATGACAGGTTATTTGAAAACTGATTTTAAAAAGTCATTGCAACAATGTTTTAAAACTTCATCCAGAAAAAGGAAATAAAAAAAAAAACAGTTTCACTACATGTATAAGAAATTATATCTTACACAAAAGGCTGACCACTGCTGGAGTGAGATTTATTCCTATATTGAATAAAAATAAAATAAATATTTAGAAGTATTTATTACTACCAAGGAAAAGAGGCTGTTTTTGTCCCCCAAGTGTGACCTTCCATCCAAGAGAGAAAAACCCCAACCGACCCACCACCTGCAAGTACAATGATAACAGGAAGCCAGTAACAGCCTCACTCATTCACACCTTCAAGGAGTCTGATTTCAAAAAAAGCACAAAAGACTTGCTGCTACTGCCACCACCCTGTTTATCAGCCAGCCTCAGGGCCATCACACATGGGGCTCTAAAAATTTTCCTCCCTCTCAACAAGTGCCCCCTCCCCTACCTAAACTCCCCTATAACAACTGTGCACACTCTCCTCTAAGAGCCAATAGCCTTTTCACCCTTGGCCCGTCTGCATGCAGATGACAGCAAACTCTTCTCCAGTTGCTTGAACTTTGCCTGTCTCAGTGGTCTCAATCATGCTTTAGCCTAACCTTACATTGATAAAGGTTAAACTGTCAAAGATATAGGATCCACATGCGCATACTAAATTGCTAAAGCTGTATTTTAACATGTGTTTGCATAAGATAGTTCTACAAAGGAACAATGAGCAGTTAATTTTCAACAAAAATGTTGCATGGACTTTATCCAAATCAAGTAAATATTTGCATTATTTATACATAAATAGCTTAAAAGATAAAGTGTTCAAAGCTTACTTACAATCCACAAGCCATCAAATTTCATTTTTTCATTGTAGAAATCTAGAATTTCCCTTGCCCACCATTCTGCTGTGGAATTCTTGAAAAAATCTGGAAAGGCTACATGAGCTCTGGAAGCCTGTAAAATCAAAATTCAGACTCCTGTATCGAAAGCTGTAAAAGAGACCATGTACATCTGAATCATAAATTTATGTCAGATTCAGCAGTCATGCATGAGAGAAAATAAAGGCAACCTGACCTCAGTCTTAATTGCATAAATATATAAATAGATTTTCCTACTGTCACCAAGGTAAGCTCTGTGAGTTAAAAGAAATGAAGGACACACATGGAAAGAGGAGAATAACCTTCAGTCATAGGTAGGAAATAAAGAAATAGTTCAGAACATTCTGAAATATATTTGCAGTGGCTGTCTTGTGTTTGTAGTGACCTACAATGCATGTTTACGTTTGTGAAGCATATAAGGATGACGAAAAGACCTGTACTTTAGACAATTTCTCTAACTAAAAATTAATTAAAATCACTTTTCTGACCACCACAAACAATATACTGTCCAGCTACCCCAAGCAACTGTTTCTCTTTCTTTGTTGCATACAACCTTTCCAATTCCAATTTCAACATAAAAGAGATTGTATTCCATTTCAAACAAACGAAATTCCCTATTTGCCATTTCACATAAGTAAGTTCCAAGACCAAGGTTAACTGTGTTAACAAGACTGTCCTTGTGCAGCCAAATTGATTACAAATGCTGAAACATGCATTATGACAGGAATGATTTCTTGGTACATTTTGAAACTTTGTAGGAATCATTAGAGTACTCATGAAGAGGGTATAAGGAAGGAAATGTGCATAGAAAAAATGCAAAGAGCAGTGAATATAGGGATTCAAAAAATATCACAGGTATTTTAGGCCGAATTTTATCATTTTGTCCAATAATTAAATTTTATTCCTGAGGACAGGAAGCTTAATAGTGCTATATTTGATGAATATTGTTGTGCTAAGATTTCCCCAGATCACATGTAATTAATAAGCAAGATGGCACTAGATCTTTTTTAAATTGCACTTTTATGTGTTCTATAATTCATACATCACATTCCTGTACATAATTGCTCTTGTACCTTTAAACACAAATCATTGTACCCAGAAAATTTATCAGATACTGCTATACATATTCATAACTAAAACAATCTTGCATAAATTAAAGCTTTTCCTCAACATCTATGTAAGAAGCCAGGACTTATTTCTCTGCTGTTACTACTACAAGGCAAGAGAATTCACTACATCTGAAATTAAGAAAAAACAATGAAATTTTTCCTCAACAATATAGTTAAATGCATTTACACTTTTGATTCTTATTTAGAAATCCTTATAGTATATTTTAAGCTTCCTTAATTTTTTACATTTACATGAATGTGTATGCTTTAGTGATTATAATTTGATTGATTTACAAGGATTGCCAGTCTTGGTTTTGTAGATATTTTTGTCTTGATTTCATTTTTTAAATTTTATTGCTTTCTGCTAAAATCTTTACTTCTTTCCTTATACAATTTGAGGCTTTATTTTTTATTTTCTTAATTCCTTGAGGTATAAAATTAGGTTAAGTTTTTTTTTTTATGTTTAGGTATTCATTGTCATAAACATCCCTCAGAATTGCTTTTGATGAATCTTGTAAATTTTGATAGCTTGTATTTTCATTTTTTGTCTCAAGATATTTTCTAATTATTTTACTTCTCCTTTGATGCCTTCATTGCTTAAAATAATGTGCTAATTTCTACATATTTGTTAATGTTTTAGTTTTCCTTTTGCTGTTGATTCCAAGATTCATTTCAATGTGTCTGGAAAAGGTACTTGTGATTTCAATCACCTAAAATTTTCTGTCTTGTTACATAAAATGTGATCTCTTTTGGAGAATGTCACATGAGAAAAATATATATTCTGCTGCTCTTAGAATATTTTACATTTGTTAATTCCATTTTGTTTAGTACTATGTAAGTTTTCATGTTCTTCGTTAATTTTATTGTTTTTCTATCCATTACTGAAAAAGTTCTGCAGACTGAATGACTTTTACTGCATTGCTATTTCTCTCAATTCTATCTGTATTTGCTTTCTATATTTCAGTGCTCTAATATTGTATATACTTATGTTTATAATGGATCTATCTACATGATGAATTGACCTTCTTATCATTATACAGTAAAATCCTGTCACTGTCCTGCAACAGTTTTTCACTTCAAAATCTCTCTTCACTGATATTATCATATTTTTCCTTCTTAATGCTTATGTGAAATATCTTCTTAATTTATTTCATTTTCACTAAAGAACTTTGAAGATATTATTCTGAGTGAAATAAGCCAGTGTCAAAGACTGCATGAGTCCTTGTATGATTCTACTTACATTAGGTATCTAAAATTTTCAAATTCATAGAAGCATACAATGGAATGTTGGTGGCCCAAGGTTACAGATACAGGAAAATAGAAAATTGCTAATCAACGGGAATAAAATTTCAATTACGCATAATGAAGAAGTTCTGGAGAGCAGCTATATAACATTATATGTAGAACTTTTAATTCATTCTTCACATAAAAATTAATTGAGGATAGATATCATGTTAAATGTATCACCCTGAAATAATTTTTATTTAAAAGAACAATTTACTAAATTGAGTAAAACATAAATTTCTTAATCAAGTGACTGACATTTTGTAACAGGAAAAATTGCTATCATCTAATATGACTTAATAAAGAGAATTTTAAAATATATGTATTTTAAAGAAAAATATTCAAGTTGAATTTTTAGTCAAGTGGTAACCAAGTCCAAGTTCTGACTTTCTGTCAATTGTATACTTAATCAATGGAAAGCTTACATCAACAGCTTCATCTTCAGTGAGAGTCTCATCTATTGTTACATTGGGTAAGTCTGGCCAAACCTATAATACAAAATGAATTAAAAAATTCAAATTAAAATGAAAAATGGAAATAAAGTGTTTGTAAATGGGGAGGGGAGGAGGGGATGAAGGCAAGGAAGGGACAAGGGGAAAAAATGAGAACAAAGACCTGTCATGTAAAGGTACAAGATCCCAAAAATGAATGTAACTGTACTGTATACCTAAAATGTGCCAATAAACTCAATTAAAAAAACAATTCAAATTAAATTATTTGTGATGAAAATTCTGAGAAAATATCATTAGATACATATTATATCATCAAGATGCCAAAATTTGTTATCATTTCAATTATTTTGAAATTTGCTTTCTTGTATATGTATAACTTGCACACTGTACCTATTTTCCATATTAGTCTGTTCTTTAACATGGCAAACAAAAAGTATTCTTAACTTTTGTAGTCGTTAGTAATTTTAGAAATAGTACATGTAATCAATAGTCATTTAAGAAATTATATACTAAATTTAATTCAATGTGATATATGAGAAATATTTCTAGAATTACTCCAGTATTAAAAGCTAAAAATAATAAAAAACTTTAACTGAAAAGAGTGGAAAATTTGATTGAGTAACATCTTGGTAAAGGTTATAAACCTATTAATTTGCACAGAGCTAAACATTCCACCTTTCCCCGCCTCTCTGCTGCTTTACTTTCTAGCAATGTTTTTCTTGACTCCACTCAGAAATGCATAAAATGGAGCCCAAATTTCATCATGTTGTAAACTCTAAATATTTGAATCTATGTTGTAAACCTAGAAAATGCAAATAGTACTTAATGATTAGGGTTGAAGGGGGATTAAATATGAGAAAAGAATAGTACTTTAATGAAAGAGAGGACAAAAATTTGAGAAAATATGTAAATATTTAGAATGAAGAGACCGTAAGAAAGAGAAATTTTCTTCTGTGGCTTATATGCCATATTCTATAATAGCATGATTCTTAAAATATATTATGTTTCATTAATTTTGTCACTCATTTTTATCTATTTTATTTTTACCATTTCATTTTGCAATACTTTAGACTTCCACAAAAGCTGCAGTAATTGTATCTAGATTTCATCTACTCCTTTCACTCTGTTTCTTCTAAAATTAATAGATTATATAACACACTGTATAATACAATGCTCACACAATTAACTTGGATGCAAGACAATGATATAATGTATAGATCTGTTTTAATATCACCTCCTTTATCACTAATGACTTAATCTTAAGTTTCAATAAATAATGCAATTTATATTTCCCATTGTAGGAGTTTCTGAATTTTTCTTTTATAATATACATTATTATCAGTTGTTTTATTTTTCATTGTTTCAAAGGAAAATCAAAATATGTTCTACAATTTATTCATATACTCAGGTCAGAATATCATTATTTATACATTTAGTCAATGGTATTCATTATTTATGTTGGTAATATAACTCATAAATATTGTTACTTTTTTAAGAGATAAAGACTTCAATAGCTCTTGCAGCATCAAATAATAGTTTTTATACTAAAACAGAAAAAAATACCAAAATTAAAATACAGCTTCAAGATGTAACAAAATGCTTGTGGTTTTCTAACCTGTAGGAATTCTTTAACTGTTACAATGAATTATATTTAATTAGAAAAGCATGTATTGTTTCCTTATGTATTAAATTATTGCATATTTACGTATCTTTCCTTCTGAATATACTTTTAACATTTTAATTCCAGGGAAACTGTCAATGATCTACGATTTTCTCAAGTATTCTACTTCAACATGTTAACGTACTACCTTTGCCCAACAAATGTCACTGGTGTTAGGCCATTTGACAAAAACATCTTTCTGCTGTCCTCTTGTAAATGCAGGGTAAGGCTGTGTTTCATTTCCTGAAATTGCTGGATCCTAAAATAAAAGACGAACAAAATGCATATGGAATAAAAGAAGTATCAAGTCCTTGAGTAGTCATTTTAAAACACCATAATTTTCCATTATTACATCATTATGTTTGTGCTGTCACTTACAGAAACATTACTAATATAGCTAGACTGTCCTCCACATTTCTTAGAAGAAAATTCTAACAAGTTCTAAAAATGCATGTTCTATCACTTCAACCAAGCTTATTAGAATCTTTTGTTTTAATTCTTTATTTCTGTGGTATGACTTTTGGTGATCTGGCTTGCTCCCTATAAGACACTGACAAAATGTTCTTTCCACTGATTTGTTAACATGCAGGTAACTAGAAAACATCTTGACTTTTACCCCCAGTCATACACTTATATTTCTAAAATAAACCTGAGTACAAGCCTGTGTAAATAAAATGAAGTTTTACAGGAAGAATGTTTTAGATTTGGGAATAGAATTCAATGCTATATGTTTCCTACTTTGAAACACTTTCCCTACCCTCCTTTTAGGTGAATTAAAACACAAATGATCAGATAAAAATAAATACTGACCAGAATAATAATGTATCTCATTCCTTCCCCTCTTATTTTGTCAACAAACTTAGGAAGGTCAAGAAATCTTTCACCAATTGTGAAGTCTAGTTGCCTTTCCATGTAATCAATGTCTGTGTATTGGACATCCTGAAATACATATGTGGTAATGGGTAAGAAACACACAAGAATAAGTATATCATATTCTATCCTAATTATGAAAGTAACAGCAGGATGTAAGCTTCAGTTCCTCTTTCTTTGATCCTAAAGAGAATTGATTAAGTACTATTGTTTTCAAGGAATAAAAGTGGAATGCAGAAATAGGTACCAAGAATAACCATACATCGGGTCGGGGATTTAGTTCAGTAGTGCTGCTGCCTGCCTCGCAAGCAAATTCAGTCCTGGTAACCACCCCGCAAAGAATAAACATACATCATTCTATTTTGTCAAGAAATTTACTTAGCAATTTAGTTTGATAACAAAATTGTTCTTACAATAATCATAATAAATTATTTTGTTAAGTAATTGTTTAGGAAAATAAGGAGGGAAAATGATTTATAATGCTATGAAACTAAACTGAAAAACTAGAATGTCATATGATACATATGGAAATACATATTGCAGTATTCCTAAGAACTATAAGGAAAATATGAGGTGATTTCAAATAGCTCTTATATTTGGAAAAAAGAGGAAAAGAATATTAATAAATCCAGGAAATAGTATAAGATTTATACTATATATCAATGTCATTTTCAGAGTAACAGTCAAGCTTAAATAACCAAAATATTGCTAATGGATAGACCCTTGAAATATTAATAATCAACAAATCTTGAATTTTATTATAAACTCTTCAATCTTGGCTGAAATAAAAGATGTTTATTTATCTTCTTCAATTATTAGTTCAATTTATTCTTATAGCTGTTAAAACATTATGGCTCACATAGTAGTAGGATAAAACCCAAAAGCTTGCTATTCTATACTGAAGTTCACTTACATATTTCTATATCATCATTTGTAAATTAACTTTCCCATAGTAATGTAGCCATCAGTATTAGAGTCTACTGTAATTATTGTCTATGATGAAGACATTGAATCAAATCATTTTTATTTTTCTTCAAATGAGCTCACGCATATTGATTTGTATATTTCAATGTTTGTATCTAGAAGGATCTCTGGGATTATTTAATCTTATTAAAAAGTAAAATTACAGGGACTGATTATGTGTGGTACTCAGGAACATGACAGTTCCCAGTGTTGAGTGTAGAAGGCATGTTGCAAAGCCCCTCATTCGGTGCAATATATTACACATATTATCAGTTCCAGGACCGAAATCACCAGTTTACCCAAACCCTTCTCTGCAGTTTGTAAGATCAACTGATGGCATAGATTACTGTAGACATGTTCTAACATAAGAACACACACAGTGTGTCTATTTATGCAACCAAAAATGTATGAAAGCAAAGCACGTGCATGACAGTTTGCATAGTACAACTCAAAATCATAGAAATGAAGAGAAGAATGGAAAACGGATGATATTATATCTTTTCTTTAATAATCAAACATCAAACATCAAACATCCCATTCATAAAGTGTTCCTAAAAACTAAGCAACTATTACTAAATGCTTAAAATAATTCTACAGTGTATACATATTGAATCATTACATTTTATGTAGTTTATATTTAATACTGTCTTAAAAAATAATATACATACATAAGGGATCTCAGCAGACACCATTTCACTATAGAGCTGCTCAATCTCCGAAGTATTTCTGTATCCATAACGACTTAATTGGAATCCTAAAGACCAGTAAGGTGGCATGACTGGATGGCCAATTACCTTTAAAAAATTGATATGTGTTAAATTAGATAACTACTTTGTAATATAAAGAAAACTTTATATTTTTAAAAACAAACACAATCATACTTCATGATACTGCATTGTGGCAACTTCGGGAGTTGGGCCCAAAAACATGTAAAAATCCAGTATTCCTCCAATTGTACGGTAAGTTAGAGCAGGAGTTGGCTGGAAAGTGACATCTAAAATACAACATGAGATTCTATTTTTATCTATGTATGATATATCAATTTATTAAAATATAATATTTATATTTTATATGAGAAATTGAACAAACAGTTCTGTTACCCATTGCATTGCTGTTGAGTAAGAGAACTCCATGAGCATTGCCTTCTTCTTCCAGAGCCATATAATAGGGGTGGAATCCATAGGAATTAAGTTTATACTGAAATTTAAAAATAAGTATCATACATATTTAATAATATATAAATTCAGTTATTGTTATTTTAAAATTCATCATAGGATTGAGCTTCAGAATTTGAATGTTCTTTTTTGTGCATACACAAACTATACTTAAATTAACATAAATGTATTTGAACTTAGTGTTTTAGAGAAGTGAATAAGTAGCCAAACGAATTATGATGTATTATGTAAACATTTTGTTATGTAAACATGTACTAATAAAAATACTTTTTTACGACATGCCACATTATCTGACATAGAATTTCATTGACATTGGAGTGGTTCGATTTCTTTCTGCAAGTTTTATGATTCTGTCTTACTTGACTTACAAATTAGCAACTCTGAGAGCTTGAGACAGAGAACACAATTTCAAACTCTACAGAGGTCACATAGTGACTCAGTGACTTAGTCACTTAGTGACTAAGCAACACCCTCTCTCAAAATATAAAAAAAAAAAGGAAGTTGGGGATGTGGTTCAGTGGAAAGAAAGAGCATATAGACACAGGAAAGAAAGAAAAAAGAAAGCAATTCTTTTCCATAATAAAATATGCTGGAAATTATTAAATTAATAAAAGTAATCCAAAGTAATGAAAGAGAAAACGTTTGTAAAACTTTCAGACAGTTTCATAAAACATCGAATTCATTTTCCCACATTAGAATTTCAGTAAATTTTAGCATTTGAACATAAATTTATATATGAAAGATGAAAATTATATTAATCAAATAATATATATACTAGTATTATAGAACTGAAGTTAATTTTGATAAAAGTATTCTAGAAAGTCAGTGCCAATGAACACCATTTTCTTAAAATACTACAATAAAAAGAAAAGATGTTTGGTTTATTATGCTAGAAATAAAGGATTCTAGCAATTCACAATAAAAATGGTTCCAATAATATACACATTTGTATCTTTGTACTGAACCTTTGAAGTATTATATGTGAAAAATAAGTTTATTTCTTAAGCTATACATGGACAATTGCAATCAATATTATTTGCTGAGCAGTCCATTAGATATTCATAAAATATGTTCAATTCATAAGACAGAACTCTAAGAAAATGTCTAAGTACGTAAAACACTAAAAATATGTAGTGGAGCCAGTGTGGTGGAAGATGCCTGTAATCCCATCATTCAGGGTAGTGGAGGCAGGACCTTAAATCGTAAATCCCAATCCAGCCTAAGCAATTTAGCAGCTTAATGAGATTCTAACAAAAAAGAAAAAAAGAAACGGGGCGGAGAGCAGGAGTGAAATCTTTAGTTTCATGGCGAGGGGAGACAGAGGGAGTAGGAGAGGGGAAGGGGAGGGGGAGGAGAGAAGGGAGACCAGGAGTGAAATCTTTAGTTTCATTTCCAGGTGGCTGAGGATTTAGCTCAGTGGTTCTGTCAGCTGCCTTGCAAGTGCCAGGACCCAAGTTCAGCCCTGGATAGGGCGGGGGGGTGAGGGTGGGCTAGCAAAACTGCACAAATGCAGCTATGAATTAAAAAGGGAAACTTTTGAATCAAATAATTATCTAAGAAATAAAACAAATTTTTAAAGTATAGTAATTAAGGACAAAAGCCTAGGCAGTTATTTTCAGGGATAGTGAAAACATTTCTTCCTTTTATGGAGCTGAAAGTGTTAAGAAATTCGATAACACCCTGACTTCTTTACTGCGTGAAGCAAGGAGTTATCTTCTACTTTCACCTGTAAATTATGATAATTTTCCTTGTTTATTTTTTTCAGAACATTATAGAAACTCTGGACATCTGTAGCCCCTTTTTCAATCCTTAAATTGGAGCTGAGTGACTTGGATGCTCATGAAGGACAAAGCCGCTTCTTGGGCGGTCGCACAGAGGTACCCACCCCAGGGGGCTGGTCTCTGGTGAACATCCCCCAGGTGTTCCAGTTCATGTCCCGCCTGAATGCCGTGTGCTCCGCTTCCCCAAAACCGTATATGTACTCTGACGGCAGACGTGTAGCTATCTGGATGAACTGGTTATTAAAAGTGAATCCAGGCAGACGAGAATCCCAGCTTAAAAAAGAAAAAAGAAAGAGAAAGTCTATTCTTGTAAAAGTATGAAAGATTGTCACAAAAAAATGATAATTTCTTTGACTATCTGTACTCAAATATTTTTTTCCATTTACCTAGTCATAACCAGGTCTGAAATGGATATAGATAATTATTCCAGTACATTCTAAAATCTAAATTAAGTAAAATATGTCCCATGTACTCAGGTGAAACAATATGAATGACATGATTGTACATATTTAGATAGACATTCCTTCAAAAACAAGACTAATGTGTGATTACATGTGGCTCAGTAATATGTCCTGATAATTGTACAATATCCACTTAGCCTTTCTCTTGAGAAAATCACTGTAAATATCTGTACATATGGAAGAAAAATAATTTGCTATTACAGTGCACTACAAGCATATTTTAATTCTTAGTTCGTCCCAATTACTATTGCTGTTTTTCTTCTTTTATTTTATATTTATAATTAGTGTTTATCTTTATGCTAAGAAGAAAGCACTATTATCCAAGTTATCTGCAAAAAGACTATAACAGCTGAAAAATACTAAAATGGGCATGGAGAGGAAACACAGGCGTAAGGCGAAGTAACAGGGGGCATGAATACGACTGAAATCACGCCCTCGAAAGTATGTGAAATTTGGGGTGACAAGGAGTGGGAATAACTGAAGTACCCATCTGCCAGAACAAAATCCATTAACCTGTATAATGAAGACCCACTTAAAAAAAATGAGGGGGGAAAAAAGAAACTTACATACCCCAAAAGGACTACGAGTTGTCTTTTAAAAAGAGGGATTTTTAAAATTTCACTCTATTTTAATATACTGTAGTTGGGCTAAAATAAAGATAATCATTTTTAAGTTAAATATATTTGCTATTTTATAAAAATAAATATAGATTATGTCTCTATAATTTGTCCATATTTATAATGTTTATATTCATAATGTCTCTATAGATGAAACTTCTTTACAACGCCTGAAAGAAAAAACATTGCCTCTATCACATTTCATTGCACATAAACAATTCAAACATTTCTAAAATATAAAATTTTCTAAAAGTATGTAACTCACATCCAGTTACTCATATTCACTAGTACACATCATGCTTTTCAAGAAATGTGATTTTTGTTCTCAACCTGACTAGAAGAATGAGTCTGATATTCACGAATAAAGTTAATCATGTAGTATAAAGTATGTTTTCTACCAGTCCTTTATGATAGCAGCATAAATACATTAAAATTTTAATTATAAAATGTTATAACTTTGAACTAATTTAACACAACTACACATTTAATATGATACTACTCTAGCACAGTGACGGCTGTGAGAATCGTTTTACTTTTCCCTTTCTTGGGTAAAGTTTAAGTACCCTTCGTATCAGTTTACTCACTTACATAACTCTTCCACTGCTTCTTCTTCGAATCTGGATGCCAAAAGGTTTCTCCTTGATTTCAACATCGTAAAGTCTGTTTTCATAAGTACTTGTTGGAGTAGCTGGAATGTTTAATGGAACTGGAACTTCATATCTCTTATTCTGGGGGTCATAAATCTACAGCAGAGAATAAATAGTATACATAGACATTGTTTGTTCTTCTTTATTGATTATAATACATATATATATATATATATAATTAAATATGTTAATTCTCAAAACAAGGATATTTAGAATTGTTTATATAATGGCCAATTAGGCCATAAATTTATAGTGTTCCATATGCAAAAACATAATAGAATAAAAATGAGTATTTCTGTTTTAATCCTACTAAAGATGTTGTATAATTTATTTTCCATACAGAAAAAAATCAAACCAAAAATATAGAACTGAATATTCTATTGTGTGTATCTACTAAAATTATCTGTCTTTTCATAGTTGAATGCTAAGATAGTTTCATTATTTTTATCATATATATATACATATATATATAATCTTACAATAAACATTACTTTTAGTATGTCATTATTTTCTAAGCACATTTTCTAGGGATGATAAAACTGTTCTAGCATATTTGCATTTTAGGCTCCTTGATGTACTGGCAAGCTGCTCTCCAGCATTATTGTTAGCACCTTTTTCGCCAAAATGTGCAAATATCAATCTGTATTAACCTACAAGTAGCTGAAGATGTTAGTTACAATTGTGTGCTCCATACAGACATTTAGATCAAGGATAGACCACATATGTGATGTGGTTTGAAAATAAGACCCTTAGTTGCTTTGTAATTGTGATGGTTTTTGTCAGTGATGTTTACACAATGTCAAAATTGCCAACAGCCCATTTTTCAGGATGTATTCAAATGAAGTGAAACTGTATTTCTTTGTTAATGAAAACGTGACCTTTATTAATGATATACGAGATTTATGTTCCATTGTCCTTATATTTGTTACTCCTTTGAATTTTGATGAGCATAAATATTTTGCTAGTTTTATTTTTCAATTTTTGTTTTTTCCTTTCTTAAATATCTTGTTTACAAGGCCTTCATATTTTCATGGATGTATAAGTAGTAATTGCTTTCTTAATGTATTGTCTGTGTGAGATATTTATGTCTTCTATTTATTTTTTGTTGTAGAGACATTTAATTTTATGTAAGAAAAATGTAGATTTCTCTCAATGAAATGATTTATTCCTTTCAATCTGTATTCTGATAGGCTTTAAGTAGCCACATACAAGATAAATTCATAGTTGAACTTTGGTTTAGACTTATGCTTGATGTAACTTTCAGATGCTACTCAATCTAAATTTTATTTTAACTTATGATTTGAAGCAAGCAAATTTATACATGGATTATAAATCTACCTCTTCATTTATTACTCACTGAAGCTTGCTTTATTTTCATTAAAGTTTTATACTTTACATGCATATCCACATATATATTATGAATGTGTACATATATGCATATCTATCAAAATTTTGAGCCATTTTCCTTCAATAAGCTATCAGATAATTTTTTTCATTCTATATTTTAATTTTATGAATTTTTATGATTCTTTTCAAATTTTAAACATTGCTATAGTTTTCTAGAGTAACTTACTGGTTAATTTATGAAGTCTCAATAGATTTTCTATTGTGTTTTATGGCAATTTATAGCATCACTTAATCTATATTTAATTAACATTACAAACAATATTTAGTCTATAGGATTTTTTAGCATTTGTAAATATCTTTCAACACTTTTTATTAGTTTTACCTTACAGAGATAATCCACTTATTCTTATGATACTTGATGTTTTGATAGTTCATTTGATTACCTTTTCATCTGAATATACTGAGATATGTTAATATTTCCACTTCCAAATAGTGAAACGTAGCATACAATAAAATATATTTTGGAGACATTATTTTATATCATGTAATTTTGCTGATCTTTATCACTTCCAATATTTTTAAGTGGATTTCCTGGAAGTTCTTAAATATAAAATTACTAACTGTAAATATTCAAAGAAATTATTTTTTGAATGTTTTATTGCATTCACTACAAAATTGACTTCTTTTTAAAAAGAATAGAAATGATAATCATCCTGTTCTGTTTATTTTAATGAAAATATTAACACTGTTCAATTCTAAGTAACTTATTTACATAAAAAGAATTATTTATTTAACAAAAAATTATTGTTTTAAATCACCACTTCATATTTAATTATTTACGAAGTTAGCAAAAATGAGAAATTTCAAGCTGAGCATGGTGGCGCACCCCTGTAATCCCAGCACTTGGGTGGCTGAGGCAGGAGGGACGCTGTGAGTTCGAGACCAACCTGGGCTACATAGTGAGTTCCAGTTCAGTCTCAGCTACATAGTGAGATCCTGTCTCAAAAATCCCCCCCAAATAATAATAATAATAATAAATAAACTAAAATAAAACAAAAAAAGAGAGACAGAGATTTCATTTTTTAAATGAATCATGAATTTGACACCAGGAATATGAACACCTAGCTATGAACTGTATAAAAGTGAAACCGCTTTTATAAAATCAAAATGCTCAAACCAATTCCATACTGTTAATATTACATTCAAAATACAAACAGCAAAGCTATTCAAAACGCTCCCAATTATTTCAGGCGATGAGTCAAGCCCTGAGATGGTTTACTTTAAACATACCTTAAACTGTAACATAGCATTTTTGTGATATTTCACCTCCACACGAAGAGGTGAGATGGGTTCCGAAGGTAGCGTTACTCTAGCACTTGGTGTGTTCAGCCGGAGGTCAGCTGTTATGCCCGTTGGCAAATACTGAATTGATGTAACTAAATAAGGATCAGATTGTGTAGGTATGTAACACTCTGGTGCTTTGGAGTTAGAAGGGACCTGAAACACAATGTGTTTTCATTGTCAGAGAATATAAGCATCCACCGCCTGCTTCCCAAGCGCAAGGTCCCAAGTTCGATCCCAGTACCAAAAATAAATAAATAAAGATAAAAATATAAACATGATATTTGTTCTATGATTTAAAGAAAAATGTACCCATTCTGTAATCTGTGGCATTATATTCTAAATTGTTATATAAAGTATTTTAATTCTGAGTGTAAAGACAGAACAGTAAAGGGATCAAATGTCACAGGTTTTCAATTCAGAAAACAACATTAGATTTTGTTGTCTTTGCAAAAATTAAGTACATTATGCATAAAATTTGATCATGTATTTGTTCTTACTCTTCATAATGACTATTTCTTTTTATGGATAGAAAAAATCTCTATTACAGTCCTCAAAGATGTGTGCTTTTGATGTTTACTTCACTTACAATGCCATTTGAATTTTCCTTTTATGGCTAGGTATACTAGTTAATTGCATTGGGTTAAAGACTAAAAATAAGATTTGTAGTCAACAATCAGAGTTGATTGGTTTATATAGAGAAGTAAGAGGTAGGAGCTGGGGGGAGGAAAAATGACAGACTGTGGTATCGAAGGCTAATTGCTTTACCACAATCCCTTCCCAAGCTCTTCCTTATTTCTTATTATATTGCTAAGAAAAGTAGTATTTTCTTCTACATGTCTCATTCCCTTTATAGTTGTTGTCTTATACCCTGAAAACCCTAGTATAAGCCAAATAAATTCAGGTGGCTTTTGCCCTTTCACCCTCCTCGTTCTGTGTCACACAAACATGATAGAAGAAGGAATGCTGCAACCTTGAAGATAAAACTCAGTGAATATGGAAGAGTCTCGGGCATTAATGAAGTGGAGTTGGCACCATATTAGGCATAGGATTTGTTTTGCAAGAGACAAATTTTGTTTCACTTAGTCTGCACAGATTTTAGGTGTTAGACAGACTCAGTATAGAAGTTTTTACTGATAGAAATACTGTCGTCCAATTGCAGTGGATGAAATGAGTGCCCAAGAAGTAGGAATAGGACTGAAGGTCAAAATATCCAGTTTGTCTGTGACTCCCTCATAGCTATTCTTCTGCCCAGGGCTAGTTCTTACTATTTTATACATCATCTTATTTATCTTTCTTATTATGAAAATAACCTGGGGCATTGATTTAATAAAACACTATGAAATCCTGTAACCTAAAGGTTCAAAAGAACAATTTTTGAATATTTGGATTATCCCAGTACTAATTTATTCAATTTAAAACACCATTGAGTAGTTATTTCAAATGTGCAAACCTGCCTTTATGTATCTGTCTGATAAACTGATGAATCTGTGGGTTTTACAACTAGTGAATTTACCATATGGAACCTAATTCTGAGGATTTTTGAACTGAAGTTTCCAGACATGAGTTTAGTTAGGACCGCAAGAGTTCATATGATCTGACATCAGATTTAGCTACAAGTGAGAAATTAAATGAATACGAGGGTGGTTTGGCAGAATCACCAAGAGACTGAATGGTTTTAATGAAAATCTTTTTTCTGAAATTATTATCAATTTAAGAAATGTTAATAATGTCTGGGTACATTAAACTTAATTTTTGTCCCCTACGTTTGCCTTGCCAATAAGAGTAAACAGATTAAGGACATAGTACACAGAGTGAAAACACCAAAACAATCATAATGTCCACCCTTTCTTAGTTCCTCAACACTTGATGTCTTCTGTTGACAGTTTAAAAAGCTTTCTCCATAGCTACTCATTCTTTTTCATAAACCTTTTGTCCTTACGCCAGTTGCTATGATATTTCCTGTTCTCCCTCCCTTATTGTTTCAGACTCACCGGTCTTCTTGCTGTATGTGAACTATGAAAAGTACATTCTGACATCAGATGCATTTCACGTTTATGTTTCCTCCTTCTGGGATGTTATCTTACCCTTTTACCTTCTTGTAAATTAAATAACATCTTCCCCGAGAAACTTCTTTTATTCAGTAGGTAATATTTCACTACTGGTATCCTTCCCCTTTTCTCCATTTTTCATCCTGATCATACTTATGAACTGTGATTTAAAAATATGCTGAATGTCTAATTTTTAAAAGATGTGTTACAATAAAAAACATATTGCTATTAATCCCTCTCAAAATACTCCTTTCATTCAGAACATGTTTATTTCATTATTCTTTCAATTTCTGAAGCTGTTCCAGAGGTCTTCTTCCATGAGTGTTTTTAGTTGAGCTGTCCTGGCTCCCTCGATGGCCTGAGTTGACTCAAACATTTCATCTTTAACCGTCATTTTGACTTTTGGGAACAGCCACAAGATACCAAATTCAGTGAATAAGATAGATGAAGAACAAGGTAATGTTTTCTGGAGTCTGAGTTTCTGTTATATGGCACTTGCTGGAAATGTGCACTACAGTATTAATCAGGCCTTATAAAGACATTCTGATTGCCAGGTATGGTGGTGCATGCCTATAATCCCAGCAGTCAGGAGGCTGAGACAGGAGGATCACTGTGAGTTCGAGACCAGCACGGGCTACATAGTGAGTCCCTGAGTAGGGATTAGGTGAAAGGCCATCTTCAGGCAGATATAATTTTCCAATCAAAAGATATAGGTGGGGCTGGGGATTTAGCTCAGCGGTTTGGTGGCCTGCCTTGCAAGTGCAAGGACCCGAGTTCAATCCCGGTACCAAAAAAAAAAAAAAAAAAAAAAAAAAAAAAGACACTTTGGAAAGAGGACTTCCAGAACGGCTTCAGAAAGTTAAAACAAAAACAAACAAACAAAACAAAAAACACTGCCAGACTTGGTAGTGTGTGACCTTAATCCCAGCAGAGGTTTAGACGAGTATTGCTACAGGACGGCCTTGCTTACATAGTGAGTTGAAGGCAAGCCTGAGCTACATAGCAAAAGTATGTGTCAGAAAACAAAAATAAATTTTAAAAAGTTGTGAAAACAATACAGTAAATGTGTTCAAAGTAAGGGGGAATAGTTTTGAGGGAGATTAACTACACTGTGTCTTACTGTAGTAGTTTTTTTACTTTAAACATTCATCATATATTTTGATCACCCTTGTATCGAATATAAAACACACTTTTCTTATTTGTCTGTGTTTCCTCACTGCAGCATGAACATAATAGGGTAGGAGGATTTTACTTTGTTTATTTGGAGCAATGTTGGAACACAGTAGGTCTTATAACTACTTTTCAAATAAATAAAACCATGTTGTCTAAAGAAAGGCAAGTATGTCGACACCTTCAAAGATCAGATACAATGTTCTTATTATGTCTGATGCCATAGTGCTAAACTTCATTTACATGGTATAAGAATCTCTGAGTCTTTTTCTTGTTTAGAAGTCATTTGTGTTTAGCTAAAATGATGTTCTTTCCTCCCCTTCAGATTTTGATAATGAAGTGAGCATGTTCTGAACGCAATGGGGGCTGATTGTAGATAGGACTGGAGAGCTACCATTATGCAAGACATTACAAGAGAAATGAAAAAAAATTTTCGCTTTGATCTTAGCATCTTTTCTCCTTTTTTATATTTATTTTTTTCAAAAACTTTCCCAGCAGTAAAGATTGTGCTACTGTATCAAACAATGGAGAAAAAAAAAAACCTATTTTTCTGGAATCTGAGATTCTACATATTGCCTCACAAAAATGAAGACAATCCTGGGAAGCTGCTGGAAGATGTATCTCACCTCAGTGGCCTAACACATGAACGGAGTTCCTTGGGTATGTGAAATGAATTGTTTGCTCTTGTCAAAACCTAATGATGGAATCAGATGCCCGGAGTTTAAAACAGAAGCAGAGGAAGAGTGGATATTTCTATACTACATAAATAAGAAGTTCTGTCATCAACAGACATTATTCTCTTTAAAAAATATGGCATCCACAAGCATCATTCTTCTGTTAAAAGGATAGTCATACTAGCTAGCTAGGAATTATCACTCAGTAGAACAAAAATAATCCAATATCAAAACATGAAGCAATCAAATTGGTAAGTAGATCCTTTAAAAATTGCCTATCACTTGCAATATGTCTTACCCAATTGATCTAGCCAACCACACACACTATCCAATAAAATATAAAAAATGCAGTACCATTTAAAAAATCATCTCCCCATCCAATGTTTCTGGATAGCAATTTACACATCCATTTAGCCTGGCGCTTATTAAATTTTGTCTTGGAAGAATTAATTAATATAAATATGTATCACTTAACAGAGTTGATAATGTCAAATTCCAAAAGTTTCTTAATCTGAATTTATATGCTACAAAATTAAAGTTATATCATGTAAAGTTCACATTGAAATGCTTGTATGGAAACTATTTTATGAATCTTAATTAAAATTCTTATTACCGTTTCCCATAAACAACCACGCTGTGTGCATTTTTCTCCAGTTACGATGTCTGCATCTGGATAGCAATTAAACTTTTCATTTTCAGAGAAAACTTGATTCCATCTAACAGTAAAACTTCTTCCAAGGTTGAAGTTGAGATCTGTAATTAGGAGAATCTTCGAAGACAAAAAATAAATAAATAAATAAAATAAAAAATAAAGACTTTCTTTAATTTACCTATGGACAATTTAAAACTAACATTATATAAAAATGCAGCAAGCAGAGCATTTCTTTGAAACCAGTGTTTTTATGTAATACTTGAAGAACAGACTAGAAAGGAGAAAAATGTCATGGAACTGAACTATCTAAAACCTCCAAGGAAAGCTCTGGCAAATTGTAGAAGCTGGATAAAACCATTATCGCTAAGACTAGAGAATGAGTTCATTTCTCTGTTCTTTCATTTAATGTTCATGAGTCTTTGGAGAAACTGTATATTTTCTATTAACTTCAGATTCTTCTTTTGTAAAATGGGGACAGTATTATTCCTACTAAAGGTAGTTGCCATACAAAACTAAAGAAATGTGATATTTAAAGCCCTAACACAATATTTGCAACATACAAAGTGTTAAATAAATGTTTATTCTCTTAAGGAATACACAGAAATGAAAAATGTGATTAGTTTGTTTGATGTGGAAGCGACTACATTTAGAGGAAAGAAATATTCATTAAATTATTTCTGTCTTTCCATTGTTTCAGTGTGTGAGGGACAAATTGACAGAGAGAGTATATTATTATGTAGAAAAGAATAAAAAACTGAGAAGGGGAAAAGAAAGTGACAAAGAAAGAAGCAGATGAAAAGAAGGAAGACAAAGTATGAAGAAAAAGAACTCAAAAAGCCAAATGCCTAGAAAGTTATATAGTATTAAATATAAGTAATGACAGCTAAAATATATTAAAAGATTATATTTACCTGGTTGGAAGGATCATATACGAAATTATAGTGTGCATTCATTTGCTGATTAGTTTCTGCTACTGTAACTTCAGTAACTGTTTCTGTCAATCCAAGAATTTTTATGGTTTCAAATGCTAATGTAGTTCCTTCCTGATATGATGAAAGTGTGCATGTAATATCTAAAATGTTCTGTAAAATAGAGAGTATGTAATGTTACATATTAAGTTAGATAGTAACCTGAAATAATAACAGAACATCAAAAAAGATAAAATATAGTTATCTACCTCTCCATTCCCACTAGCTCTCTGCATGCAAGTTACTCTTCTTGTTATATATATAAAACACATCTTTGTTTTCAGAAATATTCTAAATTATTTATGTTGCAACTCAAATATATAACCTATATAACTCTTCTTTTTAGCCCTAAGGATGATGATGAATAACATCATTTTGGCAAAAAAATGTAAATAAATTCAGTGTCTGTGAAGACCGTCTATATTAATTATTTGACTTCTAGTGTAGCTGATATCTAGATCCCCACCCCCAAAGCTGAATGCACTCATAGGTGGGGCTTCTTGAAGGGACTAGATCAGGGTGTGAGATACAAGATTATAGGTATGTGATCCTGGATCAGCCCACTGATGGATTTATGGATGGAGTGACACTGGGAGATGAAACCTGCTGAGAGTTGGTGGATCACTGTGGCCATGGTCCAGGTATATCCCCCTTGCAGCTTCCTGCCTGGAATGCCATGGACTGTTTCTTTTGTTACCAGGTCCCTCCTCTGTTCTACCCTGCCTTGGAGCCAGCCAAATGTGGACTGAAACCTTTACAAACTGTGAGCTAAAGTAACTTTTCTTCCTTTAACATATGGTTATCAGATATTATGTTCCAGCAGCAAATAACTAAGACATCTTTGTACAATTTTTCTTTCTCATAAAAATTCACAATTCTCATTGTAACTAACACATTGAAATATTTTCAAATACATTGAAATTATTTTTAGAGTATTTTGCTTAAAAGCAGATATTAGACATTGAGAAATCTAAAATTTTCAGGCAGCAATTTTATGATAAAAAATCTATTACACTTAAATATAAGATGTTAACATAACCATTTTCAGAATTTAAAAATCAAAACTAATCAATTTAAAATATCTTTCATCAAACTTCATTGAAATCTAGAGGTAAATGCAAACATTATTTTACAATCAACAAAACTGAGTAATTTTTGTTAATGTCCATTAAAATGTACATTTAACTATGTGTCTAAAGAAACTTACATTAGAAACTGAAAATGTATATAATATATAGTTTCCACTTTCTATGGTATCTGAAATGGAAAAAATAAAGTTAGTAAATCAAAATGTAATGAAATTATCTGCTTTTATTTTTAAAAATGAACCCATAACTTTTTCAAAATATATATTATTTATCAATGAAGAATTTTAATAATTTTATGCTGTTTTTAAACTATCTGCAAAAAAATGATCATATTTTAATTTCTCTGTAACTAGAAATAGTGAATATGTATTTTCCCAGTATAATTTTTCAGAATGTTAAAATGTTTCTGGAAAGTCAGAGAAAGCAGAACTTACATATATATATGCAATTAGACTTTATTACTTTGAACTCTATTTTTACCTTGTACTCTACATAGTAAATCATACAACAGTAACATTTTTCTAGACAGGCATGAAATGCCACAATTTAATTTTACTTCCTTTTTTCTTTGATTTTTAAAAATTATTTGAGGATAACAGATATAAGATTTGTTTAGGATTAATATACATTTTAATTTGTCATTAAAATAGCCTTTAATGAAGAAAATAGAAAAAAGTATTTTCATATCACATATGTAATAAATTTTTTAGAATACGCCTTCATCAAAGACATTGAAGTTTAACAATAAATAATTGAAGGAAGAAGAGGATGCAACTGCAATGGCTTCATTTGTATGAATTTATTTAAACCTTTAACCTTAGGAAACAAAATGAGAATGAGAACCTGAATTAAAATTTTTATAAGATTCTATATTTTCAGTAATTTTAGTACCAAGAGCAATATAGATATTAGATGAGAATAAGTAAAGTTTATATTTTGTCATAATCTTAACAAATTACTCATGTAAATTACCAATATAAATATTTATAGCAGAGAGATAGGGTTGTATTTCAGTATATTTCTATTATTTGAGGAATATGAACAATCTTAAACTCAGGCCCTACACATTACCTGTTAAGGTTTGATTTCACCAACGCTGATTGATGACTACAAATAATTTACAGTCAGCTGAAGCTACATTTACCAAACTTCTATGCAATGAAGTTCTTGGAACATATTCTCATTGACAGCTCACTGCTTGGGACCATAGTGTTTAGGAAAGAACAAGTACTTTGGTGTGCTGGAGAAAAATGAAAAATAGATAGTAGTAGAGGTTGGTGTGTGCGAGTGCGCTCGCGTGCATGGGTGTGTGTGTGTGCGCGCGTGTTTACAACAGTACAACTCACAGAGTCAAGGGGAAGACTGCAGGTAAAGCAAATAGATGAAAATAAGATCTGAATTTTGGCAGGTTGTTTTCTCCTTTTGTTAGCCACACAAACAAAGAGGAAAAACAGAAGAGATTTGTTCTGGAGGTAGGAATTTGGGAGCCAGGAAAATGTTACAAAAGACGATATACTTAAGAGAAACATAGGAAATAAAAGAGAACAAAGTTCATTTATGATAAATGGCTGAAGGCTAAATCATAACTTGCATCAAGAAATGACTTCTATGGGCTGGAAGTATAACACAATGGGAGAGTGTTCGTCTATCTAATGCAAGGCCCTGGGTTCATTAGCAGCATCACAAAATAAAGAAATAATTTAAAATTTTTTCTAGTGAGAAAACTGTTCTACAGAATAAATTTAATTTTAAATTTGATTTTATATACATTGATAAAATAATATAAACCAATGTTACTTAAACAAATTATCTTTATTTGAGAAAATCACAAGTCTTATCGAAAAATTGTTGATTCTCTTTTTTAAGTTTAAAAATATACATTTTCCACAAATAACTAAGACTAAACAATCAAAAAATTTTTTCAGAACTTCCATTTTCTTAGATTAATATATAATCCATTTACTCTTTGGTGTTGTGTTATTGATACTTAATATACATTTAAATGCATAAGGGACGTTCTTTAATAAATTTGAGAAACAAGTTCAAATACAAGATAAAAATGAATATTTATACACATATATAAAATATTTACCTAAATGACCTATATTAAAAGAAATAAAAGCGTGGGCTGAGTATTAGCTCAGTGGCACTGTGCCTTTCTTGCAAGTGCAAGATCCTGAGGTCAATTCACAGTACTGGAAACACACACACACAAGAAATAAAATAGCGAATTTACATTTATGAGGGAAACTATACATGATTACATCTAATCGTATAAATTTAATATGGCTTAATTAGACATGTATTAGAAAAATTGGCTCAACTTTGAGTTTTGCATTTTTGATGTGCTGAATTCTCCAGTCTAATGCTGAAGAAACAAAACCTCCGAATAATGAAAATAAATTGCGAAATATTCTTACCCCAAATATTTGTATATTAATTTGATAGAGAAAACTTCTGTAAATAGTCTGAAACCTACAAATTGTTAAAAAGTATAAAATAACCACTGCCTTTTGCTTCTGTAATTTGTTTTGCTTTGCTTGTCTAACAAAAACAACTGAGGTTTCACCATTGAAGCTTAAAGGCATTTAGCCCCAATTTAATATTAACAGATGCCTGAGGTGCTAAGCCACATCGCAGAATGAGGCCAAACGTTCAAGCGAAGACAACAGTCCCTGAGCTATAAAACTTTCTGTAAACTGTATGCTATAAAGGTGATAAGATAAAAGGAATGTCACCAGTTCTGATTTCCTAACTTTGATCCCCACTCTTGTGGGCTGGAGCAGCTAAAGTTAAACACACCGAAAAAAATGCTCCATTTGGGTTAACGTTGTTCTGTCTTGTGACCATGATTTGTGACAGGAACTGTGGGATGTAGAATATTCACCTAAAATGGCACATGATTGCAGAACTCTTATAAAAGACAGATTATCACCCAGTTCAGGGTCGGTCTCTTAGCACAGCTCTTGGTACAGATGGATCCTTTGCTACTAAAGTAAACATTTATCTTTTTTATTTTACTCACTCCTGCATCTCCGTGCATCTCTGTGTGTGTCAGTTCTTTCAGCAACAAATTAACTAAAGTTTTATACGCTAGTTTTCTTTTCTGTTTACAATGACACACTTGTATTTTTAAGTAGTAGAATCATTTGAAATAGTTGAAAACATGATGAAATTTGAACATCTGGAAACATATTGTGTTAATTCACAAATATTAATACATTATAAAAGATATAAACTCTTACCAAATGCTTTCATACAAAAATACAGAACAAGGTATAAAAGTATATATGTGTGTGTGTGTGTGTGTGTGTGTGTGTGTGTGTATGAAAGGTAAGTTTTATAAAGTAAAAGCTAGAACAATATCCATGAAATCTTTATGAAAACCCCAAAGCACAGCATCATCAGAATGAACATTTCAAAGCAGATCATTCTTAGACTTACTCGTAGTTTCTCCATCATCCCAAAAAAGGTCTCCTTTTGCTGTGTTATTTTCATCTAATGCAATTATAAGACCCAGGGGATTCTTACGGCTGTAAAATAAAATTAGGTACAAATATAATTAAAAATAAATCTGCAATTCTAAATGAGGCCATTGAAATCTCACAGAATGGTAGTTCTGTGTAAATATGATGATACTGATATTTGAGAATTTATATGTATACTAATAATCTATCACTGTTTTCATGGTAATGCTGCAATAATTTATACACTTAGAAAAGAAAGTACATAAAATATATGCAGTAAGTAAGAATTAAAGTTTTGAAACCTATAACATCTGCAGACAGAGAATGTATAACATTTCAATTCAAACAAGAAAAATTATGGATTTGCATTTCAACCTGTTTCAACCTAAACTGCAGTGTATTAGGTCTACATCTTATAAGCAAAATAATAAAAAGTTTAAAAAGGAATGCCTGGTAATTTTATAATTGAAGGTAATTATAACAGGATAAATGAGATGTGATTTATAAAAACATTATCCTTAGTTTTATATGGTCATACAATGGTAACTTGGAAGCTCTAGGGTCCAAGACACTATTCTATACAAATATACTACTTCCAAAACACATTTATCAAAGTGTTTTTTTTCTTGCAAAATCCTATTGTAGAATATAATTAGTTTTTGAGAATGTAGTCAAGAAAATTAATTATTAGAATAATTATTCATTTACTCATTAATTCTCTAAATAAATATTTCCTTAAAAGAGATAGCCTATTACAGGCTAGGAAATTTTTAAAAATTGGAAAATAAATCTGAAAAGTCAGCTCTCTGTTTTCATGGAGCGTTTAGTTTAATTGAACACAAAAGAAAAAGTATATAGTATAGAAATAAATATTATAATTTCAAATGTTTTAATGTTATAAAGAAAGTACAAATGATGAGGAATAGAATTACTATCTGTTGAGCATTTGCAAAATACTGGAAGGTAAGTGAGATAAAAGTTTTTACGATTTTTGTATTCACAATGAGTGCTGTAAGACAGAACATCTTAATGTTCAAACTCATTCTTTTGTTCTATATATTGCTGAATTTTATTCTTACTAAACAAGTTAGTTTCTCTCTTTCTCTTTACCTAAACTGAAATATCTATCTTACCTGCCAGTTTAAAAGTAAAACAGTTTGAGAGAAAAAAAATAGGTGTCAGTTATGCTTTGAAAATTATAATATGTAAAAACCAACACATTCATCCTTCAATACTGTTATTTCACATTTTTGAAAAATTAGAGATCATCTCCAATGTTTTATATCTTCAGGGAATGTGAGTAAAGTTTGATATAGAAAATAAATCTCTAATTTAATAATATTTTAAATTGAGATAAGAAAATAAATATGTATAATTTAAATTACTAGATAACCATAATGTTCATAGTTAAGAATTATTGCAGGGGATTGAGCTCAGTGGTTCTGCCACTTGCCTCACAAGCTCAAGATCCTGAGTTTGGTCCCCAGTTCCAAAATAAAATAAAATAAAATAAAAATAATTATATTTGCGCGTTAAATACCTTTGGATAAAAAATTAAACTAATTTCTGATTCTTAAGGAAATGTGAATCATTAATATAAATTTAAGATTTAAATTAATACTTTTTCATTTTACCTTGCTGTTGTTGTTACATTAGGTTGCTGAATGGGGATAATGTAACCTCCTCTAAGATGTAATCCTATTTTATCTGCTGGAAGATACATATCAACCCGTTGTTTTCTCCACGGTCTTTTTGCACCCTAATATTTGGAAGATTATTTTTTGTTATAACCGATGACTTTAAATGCCATTCACAAGAATTTTAACTTATACATTGAAACATTATTATGATCGATTAATGTCAAAATTGAATACTGTGCTATTTCTAAGAAATGAAATAAGTGATTTCAGGTAAATGTTTTTGTTTAATGTACAGAGAAGAGGAAAGATAAATTTTTTATCTTTAAAATGTAAACAACCACAGAGAAATTAATTTATTTTCTATTATAATTTACAGTATCTTCATTAGTACCCTTTTTAGTCTTTGTTTTAAAGTTAATATGTTTCTAATAATCACTAACCTACATTTTCGTCTATATTTTCATCTTCTGTATATGAAATGTGCTATCTTTCTCTGGCTTATTTCACTTTACATAATGTCTTTCAATTTCATTATTTTGCTTCAGTGTCATAGTTATTGTGTGATAAACATAGGAATGCAATATCTCTTTGATGTGTTTGTATAATTTCCTTTAGATTATTCACAGAAATAATGCATTTGTATTATATATTAGCATTATTTTCAGTTTTATGAGGAACCTTTATACTGTTCTCCAATAGGAGGAAAAGACAGAGGTTGAATAACAAGTACCAAAACACAATTTTATAAAATTAACATTTCTAGTCTTCTATAATACAGTGGTGTGACTATAGTTAACCAACATATTTTATGAATGACTCAAACTCAGAGAAACGATAAATGAAAATGTTACCTGGATTTGGTCAGTACACAATGTATACAACATAGACTATAGTATTATGTTGCTAAACTCATAAATATGCAGAAATAAAATAATATAGGAAAGGTAAAGAAAAGAAAGAGTTACAATGTCTTTAGAGGTTTTTTTAAACACACTATTAAAAATAAAAGATCTGCTTAGCAAATATAAGCAATATATGAAATAAGGGTTAAATATTTCTCAAGAAGTATTCAGCTGAGAAAATATTATGTGTATGAATGCATTTTTTGGCATTCTCAAAGTTAAAATCACAAGGTTTCCACAAATATTGGAATATAAAATATAAAACCAAATAAGTTTAACTCAATTTCTCTGGCAATAAGATAAATATGTAAAATAGAGAACACTGTAAAAATAAGTTGTCCTTCCTTCCTAAAATACTACTTTTGTTTCCTTATAAACTGAATAATATCTTTTTATACTAAAGAATATAACTTCATATTAAAGCCAAGCTCTGGGCCAGGGATTTAGCTCAGCGGTTGGGTGGCTGCCTTTCAAGTGCAAGGACCTGAGTTCGATCCCCGGTGCCAAAAATAAATAAATAAATAAATAAAGTCAAGCTCATGTGCAACAAACAGTATATTTACACCAACTTTTACACAGTACTCTCACTGAGAAACATCCTTTTGTGTAACGTGTACAGGAATCCTAACGGCAGATACATGTTTTGAGTTAAATTTCCATGTACAGATTTTTTAAAATATAATATTTCTGTGAGCCTAAAATGTTACTTACAGTTTCATAATCATACCAAGTAGCATCAGGAATGTATGCACTCACGGATTCAGCTCCCTAATTAAAGCAAGAAAATATATATTCTTTAAAAAATCAATTCTTAAGAATATTTTGTAAAATATTTTATTGGGCTGTCTACTTACGAAGGAGAAAAAAAATTTTCCTCCGTGTAGCTACACTCCAGTATTTCCAATGAATAATAATCAAATATACGTATATATCAAAATATATATAATATATATAAATCAACAGCAAATAAATAAGGCATTGATGAATTTGTATTTTTATAAACTGCATGGTCATAATTGTAAACATATTGGCTTCTATGTACTTCCATGATACATGGATATTTTAAAAATAGAAACTATATTCCTGGGTGTGGTGGCGAAAGCCTAGCTGAGGCCGGAGGATCGCTGTGAGTTCGAGACAAGCCTGGGCTACATAGTGAGTTCCAGTTCCGTCTCAACTACATAGTGAGACCCTGTCTCAAAAAACCAAAAAAAAAAACTATATAATTATTATTTTTTCAACATTTTATGATGTCCAGTGGATTTTCAATTTCCCCTTTACTTAAAACTAAGCAAAATTGGAATATTTATATCTACCTAATTGAGAGCTCCTTGGTATTACTACAAGATTTAATTTTGATGAAATATTTAAAGCTTTTTCAGGAGAATACTAATATTGTACAATTTCCTTCATTTAAATTACATACTTTTGGCAGGCTTCAGTATACTTAATATTTTTGCAATTTTTAAAATATCTTCTCCATTTTAGAATTCAATTAGCTATTTATCAGCTTGCAACATTCCATTGAGCAACATCTATTACCTCAAATCTTTATAAATAAAGTGTGCATTTGGTTACACAAACTTTTCCTTAAAATATAAATTATTAAGTTTGTAAAACATACCTGTCTTAAAACAGGAGTAATAAGTAGTGCAGGGCCCCATAAAAACTGAGTGTCCTCAATCCAGCTGTTTGTATCCTCATAAAACCTAAGCATAATAACAATGAGGAAATAACAATACAAAATTAATACATCCGTATTCCTTGTTTGGTTGCCTTTTCACGTTTTTCCCTGAAAACCATTACTCATTTTAGTTTTACTTGTTTAATACATCATTTTCAATGAATAATTCTTGTACTTTTATAACTCATTTGAGCCTCAAGTAGAAAAGTGGGGAGGAGGAAGGAAAGGAGGAAGGAAGAGGAAGAAAGGACTTCAGTTCCTCTGATAATTAAAAGCATCAACCATACGTAATATAATTATTTTTATTTTTAAAGATGAAAATATTTTATTTAGTTCTAAACATTATAACCAAAATGACTTTTTATGTCTGGCATAGAAAAAAAAATCACAGGCAACAGTGGTACAAGCATTTCAGTTTTGATGTCACAGACAACATCCAAAATAAACAGCCGACTTCTCTACTTTTTGTCCCATTGTTTTTTCTGTTTCTCTTGTTCTGTAATCCCACAAGGAAATTTCTCATGGGGTAATGTCTAATATCTTGGTAAAAAAACACCTTGATTTTTCTTATAGCCAACATAAGAGAGAAGCTATTTATTAGCTTTCCCAGAAGAAATCTGACAATTATTCTATTTATTTTTCGCCAGTAAGATAGGTTCATAAAAGCAACAAAAATAGTTCATATTTTACTTTTTTTCTTTTAAACTTTTTATTATAAAACTCCAGTTTTGCATAGATTTGAGAGGGTCTTTAAGTAATTTCTGGAAAAAAGTTCTGTTCTTTCTGGTCATGACAGACAAGGACAAAACACAATTCACTTTTTTAAAACTATACTGTACTCAATATATAAACAAATGATGTTTTAAAATGTGCTTGATATGCTTTCAATAATTTGAGATGTAATCTTTGTGTTTTAATTTCTCTGATTTTTCCTTTTAAGTTACATTCAGTTTTCACACTTCTAATCTAACCTTGTGGAGCTACCAAATTAATTATGTAGAGTACACTATATAATTCATTAAATTATTTATTCAAATGTAAAAAATATGTAGTATAGATATCCTTAATATTTGGATCTATTTCCATTAGTCTTTTAAAATACAGTTGTGAATATGCTTTAAAATCTATTTCTTAAATAGTACTCACTCAAAAAGAAATGGCCTCGCTACTGTTTCTCCAGACACGTGAGCTTTATAAAACAAGGTATAGAGAAAAGGTAGTAAGGTATAGCGAATAGTTAAGTAGTGCTTTGATGACTTCACCAAAAGTGAATCTTGTCCAAAAAATGCAGGATCTTGATGCTATGGGACAGAAAGAGATATCAATATAAGAAGCTAAATGAGAATGAAAATTAAAATAGAAGCTAAGTTAATTTAAAAAACAATTGTACAAATGTGTGCTTTCTTGAGAAACTTTTCATGGGCATTGGAATATTTCCAGCTTTTGTATTTCCATTTAGTCATATATTCTTGTAAATCTTCACTTAAACATTTCTCGTTTCAATACACAGAAAAGACTTAACAAATTAACAAAATAGAGGATTTCACCTGTTAATTGTGATAGAATGAGTTAGTGGCTCCTTTCACGTCCCCTGTACTTATAACCTTGTGTTTCTCCATTACCTATAAAATGGTAATTTACTGGCCCCGGACCACAGGGAATAGAGCTGGCTGGGCAGTTCCCAGATTACACCCTGATTGCAGCATTTGTACTGAGCCCAGTAGATCAATTAAGTAGAGAGAAAAATTGAATTCCTTGGTTAAGATGAACTGCAATGAGAAATCCTGTGAAGATTGCCTGTGATAGGCTGGATCACAAAACCTACTGAGGGCCTCAGCCACTGCCTCCCTGGAGCCAATCTTATGCTTACACTGAAGTCGTATTTCCCTTTGGCTACCAGCTATTGAATGAGAATGGTGGGAATACAATGCAGAGGTTTTTCTGAGAGATGCAGTACTTTCCAGGGGTTAACTCCGTTTTGAAAACTCCTCTCATCACGTGACACATTGTTAAGCCACACTAAAATGCAATGTAGGAATGATTCTCCCTACCAAGTTGCCCTACTTTCTGAGCTATGTCAGGCAGGACCTGTATTTTGGTTTGAAGTCTGTAACTGCTTTCCTGTGTTGCTTCCTTTTTATCCTTTCCAAGTATTTTATCAATAAATCTCTAAAATACTAGATCTGTTATGTCAGATGCCTTTTGCAGAACTAAAATAAAAGCAGAAAATATATAATATAATTTGTATCAGTGCCTCCTGTGCAAATCTTGCTCAAAAGGATTATTTGGGTGGATTAGGGAGTGACCAACATCCAGTTTGCTCCTTTTTATTTTGTTCCACTGTGTCTTCTTGTAATCAATATAATATTGTCTCTTTCTATATTCAAAACCAGATTTAGACATTGAGGAGGGACTTCTAATTATTATTTATAGATTATTATATAGTATACCAGATAATGTATTTTATAGATATAAATTCAGTCCTGTTATTAGAAATATGATTGTGTTTTTATAAACATGGAGAACAAGGGCCACTTACCTGATATCCCTCAGCGTTATGATTTCTAGAAAATGGATAAAATGCTCCAAGTTGCATCCATCTTCTGCAAAGCTCTTCTGTGGTTTCAGCTACAAATCCACAGATATCTGCTCCAACCTAAATAACAGATTCTATTACCTATCATGTTAACATTCTTAAATTTGTATGATGCATTGTATTTTACACTTCAACTAATTGACATTATTTGTAATCGTTTTGTCTTACTCCTATACTTTGTAACCTAATTTCATTTTTTCCCACTATTACTCCATCTTTGCCTGTAACATCATTATTTTACTTACTTCTCTTACTGCCATTTTGTGGATTTTCTTAACCTCCCTATCTGCTATGGACCCTTTAAGTACCACTGGAGCTGCTGGACCATATGGCCCACCTGGCAGAACCTGAACAGCAGCCTGGACCTGTTGCAGAGCCTTCTCTTGTTGTGGATCCACGCAAAACTACTCAGCACATAGCAATACAACAGGACACTAAACACTGTGCATTAGAGCTTGACCCGTGGCTCAGTGGCAGAGCCCTTCCTAGCACGTCCGAGGCCTTGACTTAGAAACTCAACGTTCAAATAAACAAATGATACACACACACATACATACATAAAAACATGCGGATAAACAAATGAAAGCAAGAAAGAAAAAAGCGTGACTCTTGTTTCTGTAAATATCTATAGAGAGAGAAATACATTTAACTGCCTTACCAAAGGCATGCCAAACAAACCATACTCCAGCATTCCAGTGATAGACCATTCCATTTGTTCCCACGAGGCAGTATTGTCTCCTAACCAATGAGAAGCGTGCCTGCCAGTCCCAGCAAAATTGGACCGGGTAAGAATAAAGCTTCTCTTATTGGGAAATACTTTTTGTATGGCTCTAAAAATAAAATCAAATATAAACTTTAAAAATAGGCTGATCATTATTGATTAAAAGCTTACTTTAAAATATATATTCAACCATCCCCAGGGCCAAGTCACACTTAGAATCACTTTATCAAAATTTAATATCAATTTTATATTTAACGACTAGTGATCACTTATTTAAATATATTCTGATGGATCATAGAAAAAAGGAAATCTATTAGAAATTACTGAGATTTTTAAAATTAATTTCAGTCATCATTTGCCAAATTAAAAGTGGTTGATATCTGCTCAACATTTGCTTTAGAAATACATGGCTTAAACTCATCTGAGTCTATTCATAAATACAATATCTGTTATATGAACTAAAACTCAATACATATCTTTATCCTATATTTTCAATGACATCTCAGCTTTTTTAGTAAGATCAAGTGTAACCTATATTTTCAAATAGTGTAAAACAATGATAGAAAAAAATGACATATTTGGAAAATTTACTTTTCATTTTTTATGCTGAATGAGTTTCTGGAAGTTCACCCACAATTAGTAGCATTATTCAGCTTACCTTTCTTGGAATTTAGTACTGATAATTTTCCAGTAATGGAAAATAAGTAGTAAAAAATACAGAAATGTAATTGAGTATACAATATCATCCAAACTATCTTCTTAAAAATAAATTCTCAGTGCACATTTTTGGGTTATAACCTCTATCATAATGAATCAAAGAATGGTGTTATTTCCTAAAATTATCAATTCAATGTAATATGGAACACTGCACTATTTTTAAAGACAAGTAAAATAACAGTACGAAGTGTACAAAACTGTTGCCATCATGTGGAATTCGGGACCAAAGAAGCATAGATTTTTATTAACACTTGATCACAGTTGTATAATTAGGAGAAAATTACAAATTTTAATGAGAACAAGTTCTGGGTTTTGTTAACAATTATGTTATGGAATCCTACACAGTGCTGGGGAAAAAGCAGATAATCAACATATGATGATCCCCTACTTTTATTTTGCATCACTTCCTCTTCATATACACTAGCTCATTCATTAAAGCATTACATGGCAGTCTACTAAATAGAATCTGCATTTTAATTACACCACCTGCTTTTGAAAAATAGTCAAAGACTTGTTATAGGAGCATCATTTTCATAGTCCACCTGGGAAGTTCATGATTAGAACACAGTCACATTTGGTTATGGCAAATTGAATCAAAAATTTGAATGATAACTTACCTATGAATTAAGAAACTTCTCATTAAATACACGTACCATGCAATTTTGATAACTTTATCAAGTTTATGAGCATTCAAACAACTTCTTAAGAATGTCATACAGTTTGACATGACACTCATATCTTTCTCATCCTGTTGTGTTTGCTGCTTTCAATCTAAATGTAAAAGTAATTTCTGAATAAAATCGAACTTACTTCTCTGTGGCTATAGCCATGCTATATCCATATAGGCTGTGGACATCATAGTGTTTCCCCCAGTACTGCACTGCATCCATGCAAATTGTTTTGGAATATATAAGTTTGTCCAAAATGTCTTGAAGAAAATACATAAAAATTATTTCTTAACAGGTTCCTTGTCCTTTTAATGTGTGTACCCTTTGTCACACTGTGGGATAGAGTACCATACTTCAAGAAATAATGGGGCCGGGGATGTAGTTCAGGGGTGCTACACCTGCCTGGCAAGCGCAAGGTTCTGAGTTTGATCCCTGGTACTCAAATAAATAAATAAATAAATAAATAAATAATAAAGATTACAATTACTTGAATTTCAATTAGGTCCTTACACGCCACTTGTGTCGTGTTTGGAATAAAATTATCTTTCTACTTATATTAGTAAACACTAATATTTTCTACCTTTAATAATAAAAATATCTTGAAAAGTAACCTAAATAAAATAACCTATATAAAAATATATCCACTCAAGCCGGTAGAGGTGGAGCCCGCCTGTAATCCCAGCACTCGGGAGACTGAGGCTGGAGGATTGCTGAGCATTTGGGACCAGCCTGGGCTACACAGTGAGTTCCAAGGTAGTCTGAACTAGATAGTGAGACCCTGTCTCAAAAACACAAAGACAAACAAAAATATATCCACCTAAACTACACATTGTATATCCATAAACTCATTTTAAAGCTTTCTAGTGGTTTATCTACATATATATATATTCTAGGCAAGAAATATCTTGCTGGAAAAGAAAACAATACAGATTTCAATATTTAATATTATGCTAAAGATTTTGACTTAGAAATACTTGCTAGAATTTACTAGTTAACAAGAAAACTCTATTCAATTAATCATAACAAAAAATAGCAAAAAAATTTACCAGGCAAAAAAGGTGGATAATTCAATTTGTTGTCCTTGCACCCGTTCCTGGAGCCTTGGATAAAGCTGGAAACTTCATTCATATCCTGAAGAAATATAAAATGAAAACCATCATATTCTAAGTAACTGTAAGTCACACAAGCAGAAGTTCTCTACCTGTTTACAAGGAGGTTCCTTTATTCCTGAAAGACATGAAAGCTGCCAATTTAAAAACAAGCATGATTGACATCCAGCTAACATAGGCTCTGAGATGAAATTGAGAGATTTTAAATACTCAAAATGTATTTCATTCACCTAATTTTAATAACAGATAAAATACATTCATTTAATTTTTAAATAAATGTCTTTCGAAATAGTTGCCTCACTATGTCTATCGTTGTACACATTACTAGCACATTCAGTCATCCATGTGCTTAGTTTTGGAGGGTGTTTATCTAATTTCTATGATGTAGTAGGAATATTGCCAGCAGCAATATTTGCCCAGCCCACAGCTTCTAACCTGTCATGAGACAGTAAAAGTGAAGAGAGAGAGAAAAAAAGGAAAGAGCCATTAAGATTCCAAGAAAAATAATGTGACTTCATGGAATTCCTGACTTTCAGAAACCCTGAATCAGTTCCTCAGTCACAATGTGAGAACTGTTAGCCTAAATAAAAGTGGTAGAATACTGTGTTCATAGATTTTGTAGGCATTTAAACATAGGCCCCACTTTTGTTGCTTCGTTTACTAACAATATAACCAGAACCAGTAAAGTGAAATCCTAAAAAGGAGACTGCATTGAGAATTTTATATCACAATACATGTGCTGAAGAAATATGTATTTCTTCTTCCTTCTCTATTAATTACATTGAAAGACTTCGATACATTTTTTAGCCTTATTCCTCATGTCTCTGTACAAGCTTTCTCTGCTCTCAAAAAATAAAGCAACATTTAAGTTACATCCTTGTCTCTCCATTAATTTCTACCCTCAAAACTATATTTCTGTTACTCTTTTCTTCTCACATTTAAATCATAACTGTACCTTAAGCAATTCATCCTTTGTTAAGGAAAAAAAGTGCAGCTATCTGCCATTGTTAATTTCAATGTCAGAGATAACTACTAGATTTTGTAAATGCAAATGCCACTAGTAAAAGCCGAACATTACAAATAGAATGATGTATTTTATTTCCAAAGGCAATGGATATAGTGCAGCAATGCAAAAATAATAAAATCTCAGATATTTGTTGGCCAAGTTAGAGGGTAAGATTAGGTCTGAAATCTGAAAGTAGTTTTGAAGTGAACTTAGCAGAGACAGGTGGCTCTGGAGAGTTTCCCTGGGTAAAAAGGATTAAAACACCAACCAATTTCCATCAATTATCTAATATTTCCTTTCACCTTAAAATATCTATGCTAATTTTGAAAAGGTTGGGTATCCCATGTCCTTTTTGTGTATTATGTTTCATATATTCCATAACTCAGAAACAGTATTTAATAGAAAATTTGAAATTGTTCTAAGAGGCTGTCACTGAAAGTAACAAAATATTGTTTCCAAAAAAGTAAAAATGAATTTCACAAACTAGTTAGATGCTGCTTTATTATAAATTTGTACTATACCAACTAGGCATACTTAGTTTCCCAAAACTTTCCTAAATATTACATTTTTCTAGGGCCAGTTACTGAAAAGTATTACTCATCCCACTTTTTGAACTATTCCCATGCAAGTATGAAATTTACAGATATAAGCACAATCTAAAGATTTTCCCCATATGATGACAGATGAGTTGCTAAAATAAGAAAATAGATTTCCCCTTGTGAACAAAAATGTAAATGTCTCCTTCTTCAAATGTGTACTAAATAGCTATGGGTAAGGAAAAATAATATATTTGAAAATATAAAATATCTAAACCTATATTGTGATTATTTAAAATTATCTGCAATATCATAGTGAATTTGGTTTGACTAAGTCCATTAAAATTAATAAAGTGTAGTATTATCATACAGAGAATACGTAGAGGTAAACTACTATTTGCCTTCATGAGTGTTTTACTAAAGATATATATAAACATTAGCAAATTTAAGTAAATGTAGTTTCATTTTAAAAATGCATAAAATAATTTAATTTTTATAAAAAATACATGAAATATGAAGATAATATGACAAAATAAGCTCTCATTTATTTGTACATATTAATGCATTTGTGGACAACTTTTGGATGAATTGTTTCCAAATACTGTACATTATATTTCTTCTATAATATTGTATATTATATTGAAAACGTTAAAATTTTAAGACAGAATAGATGTAGTTCAAGAATAAAGTGGCTTCTCCTGCATGTACAAAGTGCTGGATTTTATCTGCGGAATTCTCTAACAGAAAATAACTGGCTAATAACAATAATAGTAAGAACAATAACACAATCACAAAATATGTCTCTGTGATCAAGACAATGAAAATTCTCACCATTTAAAAAATATTGACTAAAAATTTTATTTTTAAATTAAAGCTTCAGTCTTAATTATACCAAGAACAGGAGACTGATTTCTCAAGTAATAAAATACCACAAAAAATGAAAAAAAAAAAGAATTCATTACTTTGCAAATATCTTTTCAATTAAAAATAAGCTTGAATAACTTTTCAAAGGGATTTTAATGCTTAAGCTTAAAATTCAAAGCCATTAATATGGAAACTAAATTACAGATATAATAAATCGAAAAATGCTTTTAAATTTGACATAAAAATAAAGCTTCACCAATTAAATAGAAAAAAATCTTTCATTTAATAGTAATTCTATCAGGAAAAATAATTGAGAAAAATCAAGACCAGAGGACCAAGTTAGCATCAAGAATTGGAAATTATTCAATAGCTGGGACCAAACCACCACAGCTTATTTTGAGTATGTACTGCTTTACTAATTTTTGTTGAGCATTGTCATACTGATCTTATTGTGTACTTTAATTTTTAGAAATAAGTTAAGATGTTTTTGCATTGAGACTAGTAATAGAACAACTGATTTTCATGATACTTCTAACTTTCTCATTCTCTTTCTGCTTTAGAGATGATTTGCAATCTACAATGACATTGGAGATTGAGTATTCATTCTATACTATAATCAGAATCTCTCATAAACTCTATTCCAATAAACAGTTTTCATAACCAAGAAAAATAAGACAACAGAAAATTTAAATTAAAAGCAACAGAATAAACACTTTCCTGAAAATAAAGCTCAAAATCAGAGAATAATTTTAAAATTATCTCTGCTTACATCTAAATACGGATATTGTGCAGGACGTGGTGGCACACGCCTGTAATCCCAGCACTAGGGAGGCTGAGGCAGGAGGATCGCTATGAGTTTGAGACCAGCCTGGGCTACAGAGTGAGTTCCAGGTCAGTCTCAACTACATAGTGAGACCCTGTCTCAAAAAAACAAAAATAAATAAATAAATAATAATTTTTTAAAATACGGATATTGTATTCTCATTGACTTAATGTTTAAAAAGAAACTAAAAGGGCGGGGATTTGGCTCAGTGGTTACCCAGCCTGCCTCATAAGCACAAGGACCCGAGTTCGATCCCCGGTACAAATAAATAAATAAATAAACTAAAGCCTTTTGTTTTCTTTCTGTCATAAGAATCCTAAAAATCATGCTGAATTGCATTTTGCATTTATTTTCCCATACTTGCATCCTCTTAACATACCCACTATGTGGGCATTCATTGTAAATATATTTAAATAATTTATTGATCAAGTAAAATAATCAAAATAACGATTAAAGGAATATTGAGCATTTCATGGAAGTAGAAATAGTATGAATTTAAGCAGCCAAAGGAGATAGCACACCTATTATGTCTCCTGTCAGGAGTCTACAGTTATAATAACGTTGAACAAAATCTTGTTTATTTTGTGCTCAGGTGTATCAAATATTTTTATGAAATACAGCACTTCAATGTCTGTAGCTGGTTTCAGTCCTCAAATGTAGTTAGAGTTACCATCATTGAAAGATCTAAATCCTTCATTATCAGCCAGCTATGAATAGCTAGAAATATAAAAAAATCATTCAAAGAAACTCTGAAAAGACCTACGTATTTTCTTTAAACAATCTTACAAGTAATCCAGTAATTTGTTATTTTTCCTCTTTTTTCTTTTATAAAAAATGAAACCAAATTTTATAACAAAATGATAAGAAAATATTGTTATACACTGTCTTCTTATCATCAAATAGTTACTCAGAGTATAAGACATAAACCAAAAGATATTTTTACAAAAAAGAAACAATAATGCAAATTCGAATACTTTCCCAGATTATAAATCCGTGGTTATTTCTTGCTCATGGCTTACAAAAATAATACCTTCAAAATACTGGGAGATTTTTCACCTTTATATTGCTACAACTGTTTTACAGACTTTCATAATTTTTTTTTTTTTTTTTTTGGTACCAGGGATTGAACCCGGGTCCTTGCACTTGCAAGGCAGGCCACCGCATAAATATTTTTGAAATATGATTGTTACAGGCTTATTCCCATAGCTCATTGTCTGTTTTTCAGATAAGTCATAAAATATAGTTATAAAATATAAAACTTTAGTTGCAAAATTGAAGATATTTTTCTACTAAGTTCATCACTAGAGAAGTAAAATCCCACCTTACCTATGAAATTTTTGTTAATTTCTAATTTATTAACATGATAAGTATGATATTAATATAATATAGGAAATTGTGAGCTTCTAGATTATGTTAAATACATTCTATAAATTTAAAAAATTCTATGCATGTTACACAAAAATACTGGCTTAAAACAGATACTTACTATCCAAAGTCCATCATAGTTCACTTTTTGATAGAAAATACTGCATTCATTTGCCCACCAATCTATGCAGCTGGGATTAGTGAAATCAGGGAATACTGTTAATCCTGGCCATACCTAGATGAATAAATCATTCATTTGCATACATGTAAGTAAAACATTAAAATAGAACTTCAAACTTATTGAAAAGCATACTAAAATTATTAGGATTATAATAGTGTACTTTTTTATATATGTGACTCATTTACCATCTGTATTTAAAATAATCTCAGGTTTAGTAACAGATGTATTTGAGGGAGACCAGTTAACATAAAGAAGTAAAAACATGGTCCTAAAGCATGTAGGAGGCAAAAAAACAATTGAACAAGGAGGAGGCTATTAATTTGGATTCCAACTAAGTTTACTTCTGAGCATTCTTTTAGTTTAGGTTAATAAACAAACAAAACTAATACTATGTAACCCTATATTATAATATATATATTATTTATTTTATATTTATATATTTTATTTATATTATTTATTTTATATTTATATTTTATATTGATTTTTATCAGCATACTTGAACATTACATTTAATAACTTTGTATTCCAGTCTAATAAAAGAAAATATATGATTTCATTTCCAAAGAAATTTGTTTTAAATAAATTCAAGGGAAAACATTTTTATATTGATTTCTTATCAACAATCTTTAGTATGATGTTTACTGTATGGTGGGCACTGTTCCAAATATTTTATAATTGTTGACATATAATTATTAGAAATTTAGGAAGTAGGTACTACTTTTACGATCACTTTACAGTTAAAGTAGGTACTATAAGAAAATCCACCTAGCAATTGAGAAAAGTAATACACAGAAAAGTTAAATAACTTTTTCAAAGTCACAGTGCTAATAACTGGTACTGTGTGATTTATGCTTCTTCAGATTATTTTATATTTCGTTACTTGCTACTTCCAATAATAATTTTAGGCAAGAATAATACAATTTTATATAAGATGGATAAAGTATGCTTTTATTATTCAAATAATCCATATCAAGTGTCTTATTGTTATTTGTTAAGATCTTAACAAAATATATTCCATGAATTCTTATGAGGTATTATGGAAAACAATGTGTGCCTCTAATACAGCTCATAGTATTGTAGAAAGTATTTCACCATAATCTTAAGTTTAATGAATATGATAAAAAGAAAAAATAGTTCTCATTATAATGATATAATAAATATGAATTTTAGACTGATATTATCTCTTCTTGATTTATTTATTTCAATTAAATCACAGAAATAGACTACCAAATTATTGTATCTAGATTTCCTTTTAGGTTTTTGGTATGTCTTAAAACTTTGCCACCAAAAGAATATTTATTTTAACTAAACACATACATTTGAGAATTAGGCATTGTGTGCACTCTGTCCCTCATTGGTGACCTTTCTTTCATTTCTCAACAGCTCAGTCTTTTCTTCAATCCTGCAGATAATAGCAGTAATAACTATCTAATCATTTTATTGTAAATGTTAAATGAAAATATTAAAACTCAGAATCCAATTTGTGATTACCCAGTTTATATTTACCATTATTTTATATCAAACCCCTTCATAAACTTCTTATAATTTTTAAGAGCCTAAATTATATGTCATAATTTAATAGCCTTAACTTTGTAGCTTTTAAAATAATCTGGTGTCATTTTATTTCTGTGCAATAAAGATTACTGGAATATTTTCTCTGTCAAAAATTTCTCTAAGTAAATAAAATGTCAAATCCAAAGATGATGAAAATAATTACACATACACGTACATCTTGAGAAGTTTTGATGTAATGGAATTACAAATAATCATACAAGTTTTAAAACTATGATAACTTACTTCTCCGATCAGTGGTGTAGTTCCATCCGATTCATTTATCCACACATGTTGTGCATTTCCCCTGTCATAGGCTTCATATGCTACTCCATTGACACGTTTACTTGTAGCAATTGCAGGATCCTGACAATAGAAAGGAGAAACTACATAAAACCCACAAACACACAAATGTGTAAATATAAAAATGTTTTCATGTACATAATTTCATTACCAAGATGATAACATATTTCTGTCCATGATCATGCAAATCTTTAACAAAGTCAGGAAGCCCATTAAATGTAACTTCATCATAAGTAAAATCTTTCTTATCTTCCATGTAGTCAATATCAGTCACTTGTGTATCCTGAAAATTAACACAGTATGTTTCAATAAATAGCACTGGTAGAATTTTTTAATAATTTTAATCTTTAACTCAAATGAACTTGTGTTAAAAATAAAGATTTAATGATAAATCAACTCATATCCCTTTCGTTTCATGAAAGAAACAATAGAATTACTTTTAAAACTAGTTTTTCTAATTATTAAATATATAAGCATTACGTGCTTATTCATAATTTTGGTGGTGATTACATAGATAGATAGAGAGATAGTGTCTTACTGCATAAAATAACCTACATGATTCAGAAAATCATTAAAAAATATCTGGATGCTAAAATATATCTACTTAAAATGTTGAATGTGATTTTGTCCATGGCTAAGCTTACTCTCTTCTAGGAAAAATAACCATTGATCGGTCCTTCAGAAGTATACATTTGTCAGTGGCACAGCACCTGCCTCACAAGTGCAAAGTCCTGAGTAGAATCCTAAAAAAAAAAAAAAAAAAAAAAAAAAAAAGCCATACACACACACACACACACACACACACACACACACACACACCTGTAACTTTTGATAGGTCTGGGCATTGATAAGATACACTTCTCTGTGGAAAAGTAGCATTTTAATCGTATAAACACATACTAAGTATTCCTGGCAGTTAGTTACATTATTATTACGTGACAACGTGTGACTTCCAACATTTCTTTTATTTTACTCACATACGGTATGCCAGCCTCCCTGTTTCTTCTAACCACTTCTTTCACTACATCAAGTGACTGGTAATTCCAGCGACTCAGTTGAAATCCAAGACTCCAATAGGCTGGCATTGCTGGTCGTCCAATGAACTTGAGGTAAATGGATATTAAATTGGTTTCAAGAAAGAAGAATACATCTAACATTAATAAATAATATCGATGGGCTGTTTATATTTGCATGTCTGTAGTGTTAATTAAAAATTGTAAGCAAAGATTTATCATTATTTTCATTCTAAAATGTTTCCTGTGTACTTTGTTAGAATTTTGTTAAACACTAGCAATTTATGGAGTTTGCTTGTTTTTATTTTTGAAAAATTAGAAAACACAGCACTAAAGAAAATAATTGCTGTTATATTTTGTCTGTCATGGAAAGTTAAGTGAGAGAATAGAAGAATAACAAGAAATATTAAGAGTGAAATTCTCCGGTCACCTCCTTACTATTTTGGTAAAAAAATATGTGTAGCCCTTTACTGCCTATTCTCAGTGTGGAAATTCTAGTTCTTTCCCTTTACATTTTTACCCCAAAGTAAGTCATCAGTTGGCAGTGGTTTAATGTAAGAAAATAAAATTAAATTAAAATGTAACTTTTGAATTCAAGTGCCTTGAATTAAAAACAAATTTTAAAATACAGACATTTGTCTTATAGATGGAAATATATCCTTTATTCATATCTTTTAAATGATAGGATTATCTGGGCCTTTTATCTGGGTGCAACTATAATCCCAGCACTTAGAAGGCTGAGGGAAGAGGATTAAACACTTTTCGGTTTGGACAACGTAGCAAGACCTTTTATCAAAACAAAAATAAAAAGGGAAAGGGATGTCTCTCAGCACAAAAGCTCTTATTTCAATACCTAGTATCACTAAATGAGAAATTTGAAATATATTTAGCTGAGATTCCCCAGATGCATCAAATAAAGTTACATTTAAATGTATTTACTTATTAGATGAATAAAACATAATAGAAAGCAGTTTTATATAAAATTGGCCTGAGACACACCTCTTGATACTGTTGAACTACTTGTCCTGGTGAGTCCCCTAGAAAGATGTAGAAGTCCAGAATGCCGCCAGTAACTCTGTAAGTTACTATTGGAGTAGGCTGGATAAAAATCTCTACAAACAATAATAGGAAAAATACATAGTACTTAGTGATAAATAAAGTACTTAGTGATAAAAATTGCAGTATGCATATAAAGTGCTTTTTGTTAACCATATTATTTTACACCATTTTGATTAATTAATTAAGAGGAAATAAGACATTTGAGTGTAGGAATTATGAGGAAAGTAGGGTGAAGCCATGCATAAATCTCATGGAAGAATAGCCTAGAACTGCCCTGGATAGAGCTGGCAAACAATCTCCCAGAAATGGCATAGCAGGGGGTAAAGATTACACATCTTAGGACAAACAAGAATCTTTCTAAAATTTTCTATCCAAAATACTATTTCAAGATTCTCTGAGAGATCAAACTGCTACAAATTAATTTGTAAGAAAAGATTTAAAAATTTCAGTGTAACTCTTTTATATGCAATTGACTGGATAACCACATAACTACTCCTTCTAGAACATCAATCTTTGTAATTTTTATTATCACTATTTCACCTATTAAATAGATATTCTGCCCACAGCATTCTTAAAGGCCAACCAATCTTACATTACTTTGAACTATATTAAACCACAAATTCCTCTTGTGCCTATCACATAGAGATCTTTCTCTGTTTTTATTGGTAGTAAGTAGCCTGGAAGTCAACTCATCTGGACAAGTGCGACTGTGAGAAGAGGGATTACTCATTTGTGTAGATGTGTTTCTACAGTGCTCCTAAAGGCAAAGACAGCAGCTGTGTGTCACAATGTAGACCACTGTGCCCAAAATAGAAGCAAGGATGTGCAAAAATGTATTGTCCACTAATTTCATATCTTCCAGCATTGAATATCTATGACTAGAATAAGAACACTTAGAAATATGCTGAATCTCATTTTATCCACATAATCAGATAAATTATTCTTACCCATTGCATTGCTGTTCATTAAAAACACACCAAATGACTTTCCAGAAGTATCCTCAATACCCATAAAGAATGTCTGATGACCATATAAATTATGATTATTCTACAAGGAAAAAATATGAAAATTCAAAATTCATGTATATTTGGAGTGAAGATTATGTTAAAATGGCTTTTACCAACTCATTTATTTCTATAATTTATTCCTTCTATTTTATACTAATTTCAGCAGTATATA